AGTGAACGCGCCAGGCCATCGCCACGAGGCATACCTCAGCGCTTTTACAGCTCGTCTGATAACGGACCGCCAAGGTCTATCTTTTGTCGAACAAATTGCCAGCATCGCTTGGTATGGATCTATGGAGCGTCGCGTCGACACGAACAAGATCATTTCACACGACAACCAGACACGTTAGTGGGCTGCATGTCGCCTGAGGTCATCCATGCTTGCCATCATGCTGCAGAACATTAACGTTACTACGCGTTGGTATTGCGACTCCCCACAACATGACCCTAACTGACCTAACTAAGATCCTTTGAAGTATGATGTTAGTACCGTGGTGTGGGGTCTGGGGAGGTTGCTGCTGGGGGGCTGCATGACTGAACATGGAGTTCGTTCGAAACAAAGAAGTAGAAGTACTAGTAATCTGGAGAACTCTCTCTCTCTCTCTCTCTCTCTCTCTCTCTCTCTCTCTCTCTCTCTCTCTCTCTCTCTCTCTCTCTCTCTCTCTCTCTCTCTCTCTCTCTCTCTCTCTCTCTCTCTCTCTCTCTCTCTCTCTCTCTCTCTCTCTCTCTCTCTCTCTCTCTCTCTCTCTCTCTCTCTCTCTCTCTCTCTCTCTCTCTCTCTCTCTCTCTCTCTCTCTCTCTCTCTCTCTCTCTCTCTCTCTCTCTCTCTCTCTCTCTCTCTCTCTCTCTCCCCCTCCCCCTTCTCACACACACACACACACACACAACATGACCCTGGCTAAGCTCCCATGAAGTTAGTATCGCGGGTTGGAGTCTGTAGGCCAGGTTAGGTTGGCTTGACTGGAAATGGAGTCATCATTCGAAACAAACTAGAACCAATCCATGACAGTAGTGCCATGCCAACAGGGTTGGGATGCTCCCTTTGCCACCTCAGCTCAACCTCGTCGTTTACAGCAGTAAACTGTCACTATCGGCAATGATTTCATGTTGCTCTACTTCCGACAGAGAGGTCAATGTCACCTGTGCCATACGGAACTGGTCACTTCGCACCATTCATAGGTGCGAGATAAGGATGTGGTGACGTCATGACGTCAGCATGTCGCTCGAATGAAAATAACTCCTTCCCAGTTTGGCTGGCATTCGATTTGCTCTGAGTGCTGCTTGTCGAGCCACTACCAAATTCAAAGTACAACAGCCATGGTACAAAATAAGCATGCCGGACTGATGGCAGCCACTAGCAATGTCCCAGTGAAAGACGTTGGGCCCTGGACTCCGCATGATTTTGCTGGTGTTCACATGCGCCGGGATATGACCTTTCTGTGAAGTGTGACATGCTTGGTGTCTGCTGCTTTCAGAACTATCCAGCGGCACTACTGTACACATAGCGTGTTGCGACATGGAATGAGAAATCGTGGTCTCTTCTCCCCGATCAGCTATTCGTGCCTGCACTTTCAGAGCAAGTTGAGCCATCTGTATTCGTAGGAATGCAGCTGCTTGGACAGAGTCAGGTTAAAACCGTGAAGAGTGTGAGTTGAAAGAATTCCATAGCAAAGGATAACGTGTATTCAAGGTGCACTCATAACACTGTAAAACTCAACAAATGATCATACTCGGATGCTGAGCCAATAGCATTCAAATGAGGAGAAAAGACCAAAAAGTAAGTTACGAGTTATGACTAACAGTCCATTAGGTATTGGGATAATATTATACAGTCAGATAGTGCGACAACAACACACAAAACTGACAGGGTACTGGGACGTTCAAGGTGAATGTTCAACGACCTGACACGTTGATTACCTTGGTGGACCGTGGGTCATAATTCATAACGTTTTGGTACTTTCTCCTTACTTGAATGATCACACTCGTAGCAATGAAGCAATTCCACCTCCACCACATGCGCTCTCTGGCCGACCTCATCACACCAGCAACACGACTCCAACTTGTAGACACATATACTGACAAAACACAATAATTCCTCCATACAGCGCTGTTTCGACCACTTGGCACTAAGGTCTCATCAGTGAAGGTTGACAATAATGCTGCTGCTTGACCCATTGAATACTCGTAGCAATAAACAGAGCGAACTCTGTTGTCATCACCATGCATCAACGAAATCAAAGGTGTTCCAGAATCGATTTTCAGGTCTCTTTCAACGGTGGAATATCGTAACTGAAGTGAAGATATTATTATTTTTGCTTGTTCGCGTTGGCATCAACCCTTGGATTGGATTGGATTGGATTTTTATTTATAAAAATAAAATAAAAAAGTAAATTATCGTATCCGTTCCCGAAGGGAACTCACGACGGCCGCTAACACCCGATAAACCCTAGCGGCAGATGCAGCGCCTAACGGTGGGGGTGAGTGGGTAAGCCTCACAACCACTGGCACAAGTGCCGAAAACGACCCCATTAGCTGCATCCATGTACCCCTTGTGCCTGGCCACAAGTTCCCAGTTGACTGTGGGTAGCAGCACGGCTGGAAAAACCGCTCCCAGGCAGGACTTGAACCAGGTACCTCTCGTATCTCAATCATGGTCTCTGACCAACCCACTGTGCCTGCCTGGTACTATTTATAGTGGTGACTATAACAGACAATTGCCTAATACCAATAGACCCACTCGAGGGAAAGATGCAAAAAGATATGAATAATTAATATAATAGACTACCGGTATTGGATCGGTGATCATGTTCGCATTTTGCATAGCTGAAAGTCATAAGTAACCTGCATCAAGCAGGTATACATGTACATGTATAGCTTTCGCAGCTGCCATAAAAAAGAAAGCTCCTCCTAAGTGAAGATAAGCTTCAAGCAAAAACAATGATTAAGTATGCATTCCATGATGTGTTACAAACAAGAAATAAAATGGTAGATAGATGGCAGACTGTGTGATACAAACACAGTGTTAGAAGTTGAAAACAGTGAAGTGGTAGGAACAACCCGTCAACGTACGGAAACGATCTCAGCGCAACTACATGCTTCTTTTGTTTACAGGCAAACAAATACACATACATATGCATGTAGCTTGGAGAACTTTCAACTGCCTGGCATACCATGCACGATATATCACAGAAAAAAACCATCATACACTCCGAGACATTGGAGTTGAATGATTCAACGACCTAACACATTGGTTACTAGTAGTAGTACATGTACAGTACCTTGGTGGACCGTGGGTCATAACTCATAACGTATTGCTCCTTTCTCCTGGCTTACTTGAATTATCATACTCGACACTTGGGGCGGTTGGGTCAGATAACAAATGAAGAAACATAAGTTAACAGACTTGTTACGATCGCCATTCTCATCCAACTCCCTATCTCCATTATCATCAACCTCACCAGCCGCGTCATCATCCGACCCTTCATCTGCGTCATTCTCTGACTCTTCATTCATCAGTTTCATCTTCCTCCTCAACTTCTGTCACTTCAGTTCTCCATAATGCTCATTCATTTCTATTAGTATCCGCCAGTTCGGACTCCTGATTTGATCATTTCTGTAAGTTCTTGCATCAGCTGGTGTTCTAATTGTCCTCGAAGTTTCTTGATATCAGGTGTCATAATAATCATGGCGTCTAAAGCCGCCGCCGATCTTCTAAGTCTCCTTAATTCTCTGACTGTTGTTGTTGTTGTTGTTGTTGTTGTTGTTGTTGTTGTTGTTGTTGTTGTTGTTGTTGTTGTTGTTGTTGTTGTTGTTGTTGTTGTTGTTGTTGTTGTTGTTGTTGTTGTTGTTGTTGTTGTTGTTGTTGTTGTTGTTTCAAATCTTTATTCTCACGATAGTTGTTGTTGTTGTTGTGTTTATTTCAATTCGCAAACCAAACGGGCAGATCTGCCCAATGAAAAGGTGGCGAATGCAGATAGAAAGCAGTAATTTAGAAATGAAATTGGGGAGGGATGTAATAAGGATAGAGGACTTAGGCACCAGCGGATAATGCTAGTTATAATTATATGGAAATTGTGCTACTAACACTGTTATTCATTTATTTTAATTTGGAGCGATTACGATAGTTATAATGCTAGCAGTGCCGATAGTGCTACAAAATGGCAATCCTTGCGGTGGGAAATATTGACTTCCCTATGCAGTCACTCGGAATATGGCAGTATCACGGGACGAACATGGTGAAAAAATGCTTACACTTTCATTAGGAGACTCCCTTTGATAGGCATCCATTTGCCTCTGGAGAATCCTTGAAAATATAATATCAATTTAGCAAATCACATCGGTACAGAGCAGGGACTACTACTCAACATTTTAAAATTATTATCGTACTTGACGGCTGCCAGCGTCACAGGGAGTAGCAGTGTGTCTCTCTCTGTGCTCTAAAAATAGCGCTACTTAGTCTTTTCACGTTGCATGGTGCCAACAGACTGGACGTAGTGCTAGTTTCACACATCGATTGTGCTAGACAAGGTCACATTTGGAGACTTTATCATGAATATGAAAACTGAATACCAAGCGGCAACCAAACAACACCAGAACTCAGTGCCAGAAGTAGATCTACTACACCAAACTGGACCAAAGTCATCACCATGCAGGTTCCGCTCGCATTTTTTGGCGTAGCGAAATCCAAACTTTCCGCCAAAGCGTAACTAATTACTTTTACGGCTGAGTTACGCCTCCACTGTTGCCTCGGCGGTGCCGCCAAAACAGTGCATGTGTGACCATGGTGACCGCGTACTAACTATTCTGTATTATAACAACTTTTGTGCTTTTTCTGAAAATGTGGTTGCGATTTCAGCAATTAGCGTTACTTTCACTGGTTTTGGCATGGCTGCGAGAAGCATTAAAGTAGTGAAATGTGTTGGCATCTTTGGGGAAAGGGCTACATAACAGGGCTGTGACAAGTACTGTGTAGGCTCCATGCTGCTTGGCAGTCTATGCAGGGATTTCCAAGACGCTACTGGTCTGTCCAGACTGAAATCCAACCTGATTCCTACTACAGATGTACTAACGTTATTAGTACATATCTGTAGTAGTTTAGGGGTTTTACGTCGGGCCCTAGACGACGGCTACAATGGCCAACCAAGAAGTAACGTTAGTTAGTTGAGGCCAAAGAGAAAGATTTTATTTTTTGTGCATGCTTATCATGTAGCGTGACGTAACAGTCGGGAGTCAGGCCGCTACAGCAATCCCCCGCCAGTGGTGAGGTCGGGAGGAGCGAAGCACGATAAACAAAAAGAAGAGAAGAGAAAGGAAGCGCGGCATGTACAAGCGAGAGCGAGCATGAAATTTGTTAATAACGTGGAAACAAAGGCCGAACCAAAAGCAGGAAGCGGACAGAGAGATGCATGACAGAGGGGGGTTAACGTGTCAGAGGGGTGTGACAAAGGTGGAGAGCATGGTGGAGGCAGAAAGAAGGAAAAGAGGAAATGTACGCATGACAGAAGAGTATTATCGTGTCAGAGACAGAAAGAAACTGAAAGGAAACGAACGCGTGACAGAGAAGTGTTATCGTGTCAAGGCGGCTGATTGTTGCAGGCTTTGCAAGGTACCAGCAGAAACATTGCATTGGGGCGAGGCGTGCCGAGTGAGGCAGGGACGGATGGAGGCGAGCGCAGCTCCAATAAATCCGATGAGCCGGGCGTGTGTGCACGAGAACTGATACGAGGGGGTGGAGGTGGCCAGTTTCCAGCTTGGTACACAAACATGTTGATAGAAGTCTGCAGCTAATCTAATGAGTAACACACAACCAAATACACAGACACAAAACCCTAGCACGCAAACTTCTGCCATCCTGCAATCCAATGAGTTCACTCATCCCAATCAAACCCACAACTCAAACTCGCCGCCACATCATAGTAAACGGCAGAAAAGAATAAAGGAAAGTTTTAAATCATATCTTGGTCCGGTCGTCCGATACCCGAACCCGGCTGTTCCGTTCCGACAAACTGAAAACCCAACTATGTCGACGGTCAACCTTCAACAGGGCCCGCAGATCCAGCGGTGAACAAGTTAACGTCTACTTCGAAGTAGTAATAGGATAACTTGGAAAAAAAGGTTCAAACCCTGTTCGGACTGTTATTCAAAAAATGTGTATGAAATCAAAGGCATGATGCACTTAGCACTACCGGCTCAAGTGCACATGTGTCAAAGAAGAAGGAGTTTCTCCTTCTGAAAGTGTGTGCATGCTTTTCAACTAAAACCAATCAATCTCATCGTCCACGGAAAAGTGCAAAAGAGTGAAGTTCCCGTGTAAATATTTTATCACAGTGCATTATCTGAAAAAGAAAAATTGTATACACCATTTTCTACCACTGAACGCTGTGCTAGTAAGTGATGCTTATGATTTGTTGGCAATGCCGAAAATCGACATTGCCAAAAAAAACCCTAAGCACCACTTACCGAGTTCTTTGCCGTTTGCTTCTCATTGCCGTCCTCGCTGCAACTTGATCCCTCCGCTTCTCTCCTATACAATGGCGCCGGTACACGAACATGTTGATAGAAGTCTGCAGCTAATCTAATGAGTAACACACAACCAAATACACAGACACAAAACCCTAGCACGCAAACTTCTGCCATCCTGCAATCCAATGAGCTCACTCATCCCAATCAAACCCACAACTCAAACTCGCCGCCACATCATAGTAAACGGCAGAAAAGAATAAAGGAAAGTTTTAAATCATATCTTGGTCCGGTCGTCCGATACCCGAACCCGGCTGTTCCGTTCCGACAAACTGAAAACCCAACTATGTCGACGGTCAACCTTCAACAGGGCCCGCAGATCCAGCGGTGAACAAGTTAACGTCTACTTCGAAGTAGTAATAGGATAACTTGGAAAAAAAAGGTTCAAACCCTGTTCGGACTGTTATTCAAAAAATGTGTATGAAATCAAAGGCATGATGCACTTAGCACTACCGGCTCAAGTGATTCACATGTGACAAAGAAGGAGTTTCTCCTTCTGAAAGTGTGTGCATGCTTTTCAACTAAAACCAATCAATCTCATCGTCCACGGAAAATAGCAAAAGAGTGAAGTTCCCGTGTAAATATTTTATCACAGTGCATTATCTGAAAAAGAAAAATTATATACACCATTTTCTACCACTGAAAGCTGTGCTAGTAAGTGATGCTTATGATTTGTTGGCAATGCCGAAAATCGACATTGCCAAAAAAACCCTAAGCACCACTTACCGAGTTCTTTGCCGTTTGCTTCTCATTGCCGTCCTCGCTGCAACTTGATCCCTCCGCTTCTCTCCTATACAATGGCGCCGGTACACGAACATGTTGATAGAAGTCTGCAGCTAATCTAATGAGTAACACACAACCAAATACACAGACACAAACACAAAACCCTAGCACGCAAACTTCTGCCATCCTGCAATCCAATGAGTTCACTCATCCCAATCAAACCCACAACTCAAACTCGCCGCCACATCATAGTAAACGGCAGAAAAGAATAAAGGAAAGTTTTAAATCATATCTTGGTCCGGTCGTCCGATACCCGAACCCGGCTGTTCCGTTCCGACAAACTGAAAACCCAACTATGTCGACGGTCAACCTTCAACAGGGCCCGCAGATCCAGCGGTGAACAAGTTAACGTCTACTTCGAAGTAGTAATAGGATAACTTGGAAAAAAAAGGTTCAAACCCTGTTCGGACTGTTATTCAAAAAATGTGTATGAAATCAAAGGCATGATGCACTTAGCACTGCCGGCTCAAGTGATTCACATGTGACAAAGAAGAAGGAGTTTCTCCTTCTGAAAGTGTGTGCATGCTTTTCAACTAAAACCAATCAATCTCATCGTCCACGGAAAAAGTGCAAAAGAGTGAAGTTCCCGTGTAAATATTTTACCACAGTGCATTATCTGAAAAATAAAAATTATTTACACCATTTTCTACCACTGAAAGCTGTGCTAGTAAGTGATGCTTATGATTATTTAGCAATGCCGAAAATCGACATTGCCAAAAAACCCTAAGCACAACTTACCGAGTTCTTTGCCGTCCTCGCTGCAACTTGATCCCTCCGCTTATCTCCTATGCAATGGCGCCGGTACACGAACATGTTGATAGAAGTCTGCAGCTAATCTAATGAGTAACACACAACCAAATACACAGACACAAAAGCGTGACTTGCACGCAAACTTCTGCCAAATCCGTCCGCCAGGCTTCACGCTAAGTTTGGAAACCGTTTGTTCGAGCACATCAAGCGAAAAACTGAAAAACAACAAAAAGAGTTTGATCGCCCACCACCTCCGCCTTCGGTAGGCCTTCAACGCTCTTCTCATTGCTGTTGCAATGGCCTCGCAAACGCTGCTCTAGCAGTAGGCGAGTTGTAGCACGAGCAGCTGATCGGTGATCGTGTCGATCGGTTCTCGAAAGAACGGAACGAAAAGAACACTGCTAGACTGAAAAACAACGGCGAACTAACAGGCACCGCTACGCTGCAATGTAACAATTGTTATCAAAGCCAAAGTATTACACACAAGCAGCTAAAGATACACTTACCGCGAGAATCTGGCTCCTAACCTTACCGCTTCTCAACGTAAACCAGGTTGAGTTCACGCTGGCCACTCCGCCATGTTCAACACTTACCGTGCGTCCACAACTTTTTCACAACTGACATGATACGCATCTCGCCATCTTGTAATGTAGTACTTAAAAGTCACTAGCGCGCGCTCTCTACATGTAGTAGTAGTAGTAGTCGGCGCCTCTAGACTACAACTTACTTGGCTCTACTCACTTGTGACTCTGTTCCGGAAAACACCGTAGCCAATGACTAAAGTCTAAAGACTAAGAGTCTACGAACTGAAATAATAAAGACCAAACCAAATCAAACCAAACCAGTCTGAGGAATGAGGACCCGGTCTGCGAGCACTTGACAGTTATAGTGTACAGTCTGTAGACTGTGTAGTGTGTAGTTGAACTTCGGTTGTTGTGAAGTGACGACCTTGGAGAACACGGCGCTGGCACTGGGTGCCATGGAAACCGAGCGACTCCGGCGATGATTGTTGTGAGGAAGAAGAGTTTCATGTTTGAGGCATCCCGAGTCCCGACAAAGGAGTTCGTTCAAGGTAAATCCTACGGAGATGGAAAAAACCGGTCCACACTGGTGCATCATGAGACTCAAAACTGACTGAAGTGAAGAAGCCAGGAAAAGAAACGACGGGAAAGAACACACCTGATGCCACATTTGCAACCGAAAATGTTGCACGAGGAATCATTTCTCGCCTAATACTAGTAGTAATACTAATAGTATCTCGCTGCAGCGCGCTCGGCAGGCGAGAAATGCAACGACCACGTAACGCCGTGTTCACGAGGTGTTTATCATGGTTTATCGCGCTGGAAACGGAGCGTCTCCGTAAGTTTGTATCCCTGGTGATGTTTGGACCTGGAGAGCATTAGTACATGTATAAGTGATGCTCTACAGCCTCCAGGCTTCAGGCACAGTCTTCCTCAGCCTACTCAAGTTCAACTGATGAGGGGTGAATTCCCCGTAACACTTTGTATTTGAGCAGGGAGTGGTGCTTTCTTGCAGGTTTGTCGAGTCGAAGGTTCAGTGGACTTCTAGTTCTCGTGTGCTCTAGATGGCAGTCGTGAGTCAGTCAAGTGTCAAGTCAAGTCGGCAGAATAGCGCGAGCTCCAATGTGGGGATCGAGCAAACCCTTTCCCAATTGTACAAGCAAAAGAATTGAAGGGCACGAAACATGCTACAAGTGAGTGTGAAAGGTTGCTATAGCCGATTACTCTTATAAGTAGTTAGTTATAAGGCCGCGCATTTTATTTCTTCTCTGTTTCTCGTCAACCGAAAATCTAAAATCGTATGCAAGAGGTGGAAAAAAATTAAAAAAATGACCGAAAAATAAAAACGTTTACTAGGCCGCTTCGAAAATCGACCAATGCAATACACATGATGTACACCGTGTAAAATAGCATCCAAAGTTAGCAACTAGTAGTAGTACATGGCAGGAGCTTATGTACACGTGCAGGCTGCAGCTACAATGTAGATTGCGCAACACAAACTGCATGCAGCGACCTCGCATCATGTGTCGTGTGATTCGAGAATCGAGGCGGCAGTTCACCGAATGCAGGCCATCTACGATGAACAGTCTACAGAAGGCATTCTGCCAGTGGCCGCGCACAATGCATTTTTAAAACAGCCTTGACAGAGCTGCTGCACTTCTATAATGTTCGACTATTAGTTCCATCGTTAGCGATTATTATGCGTAATTCATACGGTCAGTCAGCGCGGCTGTTTGTGGCGGTCGGTGGTGAGTTGACCTCGCAAGAGGGCATTACACAGGGCGATCCCCTTTCTATGGTGCTTTATACCCTTGCCACACTGCCTTTGGTTCATCGCCTTAACATTGGTGCGGCCAAAGTGTGAGAGGGGGTGCGGGGGTTGTCCCCCGGGAAATATTTTTGAAAATTGGGCCTAAAAGGTAATATTATTTTAATGCTACAGAATAATATGAGAAATACGAATGTGCATGCTGATGATACACCGCATTGTCGATGTAAAACATGGTACCTGTACAAGAGTCGACAAGCCATCAACAAGGTTTCTACGAAACACTACTTGGCTAACCCCGAAGGCTCGCTTTGGGTAGTCCTGCGACCTGGGTTGGAAAGGAGCATCTCCTATTTCGGGGTAACCATCCATCTCGTCGAGTCTGTAAACAATAAACTGCCGCCACTGGCACGTGAGTTCCCTTCGGGAACGGATACGATAATTTACTTTTTTTTTTTTTTTACTGGCACTGTACATTATTTGCCACCTCCGTCCATGCTCTGGTACAAAGGTTCACACAGTACAGCGTACCGTACATTGTTTATGCATGCATGAGATACCCCACGCCTTTTCAGGTCTGCAAAAAGCGTAGAAAAGATTTTTAGAATTTCGACTTAGAAAATTGAAATGTATCATTGTGTTAATTCTGCCCGTACAAGAGGCTGGTTCTGGTCTAAAAAAAATTTAAAAAAACTTCGAAAATTATTGGTGCGGCTTTGGCCGCACCGGTTCCGACGCCCCTGTTATGCTAGGGCAGTGCCAGTCTTCCCCACATGGGTCATTATGCTAGTTATTATGTTAGCATTATCCGCGGGTGTGCAGGATCATGCTGGCGCGGAACTGGCGGAGCGTGGAGATGGCACATATATCGCTGGGTAAGGTGTTCCACAGTTGGGCGCCCCGGAATGCGAGGCAACCCTTGCCGAACCTGGTGCAAACTGGCGGTTGGTCGGCGCAGACCCATGGTGGACTGCAACCTAGTTGGGCTAGCTGACGGAGGAACTGGGAGGGCTTGCAGATGAGAACTTGCGTGACCATTTCGAGACCTCCAGACAAGAATGATAAACTTCTGTCTGAATAACTCGGATACTCTGTATGTGTCCTATTTCAGCTGAGGTGGGTGTGTGCGGTGTGATGGCCTGCAGGCATTTACAAAAGCAAAGAAAGGAGAAAGGATAGAGATACAAAGCCAGTCTGAAGTCTGAGGAACAAAAGGTTGAGCGGGCTCTGTCGGCATGACAACTATACCCTGCATAGATTAAATTATTAGATTTATGTACAGCATCACTGACTTTAACACCCCTGGTGTTGGTAGTCCATTTTTATCCAGAATTCTCACTTTTGCCTCCCTCAAAACTGATGAGGGTCACTGAAACTTGGATGTGAACCCTCACCGCCTGGACAATGCTATAGGATGGATAAGCAAGGTTCTGGATAACCGTTAGGCGCTGCATCTGCCGCTAGGGTTTACCGGGTGTTAGCGGCCGTCGTGAGTTCCCTTCGGGAATGAACACGATAATTTACTTTTCTTTTTCTTTCTTTTTTAGTGTCTGAAAGAGTGATAGGGTAAGGGTTAGGGTTAGTGCCCTGAAGGTGGTGTGTCTGTGGAGGGGGGTGGAGGGGCATCACTGTGTGTAATGTGTGCAGTACAGTGAGAAAATGAGCAGGATTGTTGCAGGGTGTAGGTGATCACCGCAGGGCAATCCGCACTCTTCCACGTAAAATATCTGCTCGCTGATTGAAGAGCTAATTGAAGAATTTAGCTAAATTATATGGTGAAGGCGTGCCATGATGCATCCAATTACATGTGACTAGTAATCTCGCTTCTGGAATGAAGATGCAGCAACTTCCTGAAGCTAGATAGTCGTTGTCTTGACTGCTTCATTGAGGTGGTTTTCGATCTGCTGAGGAGTTAAAAAGATTCAGAATTCATAAGAGACCAGGGTGTTTGACTATTATGAAGGTCAGTGATGAACTGCACGCGTGCACTGTAGCGGACTGGTGCTGCATACGGCCAAGACAGATGATCTATTTTAATACTGAAGTAGATTAAAACATAGCACAACACTGAAGGGGGAAGGGTAGGCATATGCGGATTCTGCCGGCAGAAAAATTGGCAGAATTTGGTACTTTTTCTGGTAAGTTTCATGTCATGTTTGGTATGTGGATAAAAAAATGTTTGGTATGTGGATAAAGAAATGGAGCAGAATTCGAGGAATTGCCCGCCGTAAGGTTTGTGTGGTTCTGCCAATTTCACTACTTTTCGAGCAGAATCTGCCACCTTTTCGAGCATAATCCGCCAATGCCTAGGGACGGGGCAAGGTTAGTTTCCTGCTGCTTTGAGTTTCATGCTATGCAATCATCATTATTGGTAAATATTTATGTGGAGACACAGTCTCCGCCCCCTCCCCCAACATAATATTTTTCTTACTCAATTTCCGGACAGAAAGCTCTGGACAGAAAGCCGTTTAGACCGTAGTAGCACTACAGTAAAACCTGGTGTAAGCGACCTCTGTCTTTAGCGACCTCTGTCTTTAGCGACCTCTGTCTTTAGCGACCTCTGTCTTTAGCGACCTGTCTTTAGCGACCTCTGTCTTTAGCGACCTCTGTCTTTAGCGACCTCTGTCTTTAGCGACCTCTGTCTTTAGCGACCTCTGTCTTTAGCGACCTGTCTTTAGCGACCTCTGTCTTTAGCGACCTCTGTCTTTAGCGACCTCTCTCTTTAGCGACCTCTGTCTTTAGCGACCTCTGTCTTTAGCGAGCTCTGTCTTTAGCGACCACCTGCTCTTAACAACGTTTTTTTCCATGCACGGACAGTTCTGTACAGAAACTGCACCGGTTACAGCAACCACCTGCCTTGCGCGACCAGCGACCGACTTTTTGTGTACCAAGTGCCATATTGGACCTGCACACAACGACCAAAACTAACCAAAAGTGCCATCTTGGCTGGCAGAGTTGACTGCAACAGGGTTGAAGTGCGCTCTGAAGACTGAAGCAAGTGGATGCAGTCAACTGAAGTGACAAGTGGCAGTGCAGAATGCGCTGCATGGACTCCAGTGAGGTGTGCTTTGCCTGCACGAGAGTATTCTATGCTCCACACCTGTCGATATGAGTACATGGAAGTACAATCATGCACATGTATGCATAATCCGATATACCACGAGTGTATGGGACCTGGTTCTAAAGACCACCTGGCTTTAACGACCGCTTTTGCTTGCACCGTGGGGTGGTCGCTTAAACCAGGTGTTTACCGTATTAGGTCTCCCCAGCGGAGCTCAGAGTTTCTGCCAGTTTAAGTTTTAAGCTTAACGCTAACCAGAAAAGAGTGCTCAACCAAGCCGAGGCAAGCGAGCGTAATACCGCCAGTCTCTGGACAGCTACATGTAGCTGTTTCCACCTTGTTAGGTCTTGTCAGCCGAGCTCAGAGTTACTGGCTGAACCGATTGCAATAGGGCTTGAAAGTGATGACGTCAAAAACGGCCAGGGAGTAGTAAATTGACATCAGATTTCTATTTTGGATCCACTAAGGTGTGACTTTGCTATTGCCTCAGTATGTGGGTGTATAGCAACCCACTCATGTCGCATGCAGGGGTGACTTTTACTTCGCCACCAGTTGTAACCCCGCCCCCATTAGCCAAATCAGTCAGTTTCACTGGTTACATCACCTTGCTGAGAGTAGGACGGCTTGAAATGTGCTTGGATCCATACAAAAACTGGATCCAATTTTTGAATTTTTGAAATTGTTGCTATGCTGTGACGTAGCACTTTCAAGCCCTATAGAGCAATTATTTTCTGATGTATTTTAGCGACAAGGCGACGACCGTTTCAGAATCGGTAACTCAAACTAGACTGATGATACCTTGATCCATGCAAACGTGGTACTACTGGGGACCATAGCGGGGAGAGGGGTGTTCAGCAATTATGCGGGTCACCGAGTATACACATGCATCATGACACGTGTACCTACATGTAGCTTAGCGACTACGTAGTATTGTTGGTCTTGAATGGGCAGAACACTGTGTATCAGTGTATTTTTGGATTTGAATTCCGGCCAAGTACACACAGCTACAAGCCCAATTACATGAAAGCAAATGTGAGAATGGAGTTGAATAAGGAGTATAGGAAGGAGGAGGAAGGTCAATGCTGTGTACAATGTCATGTATCTTTTCATTAGCTGATCGTAGGCAATGGAGAAGTGGGTCCTGGATGCTGGAAAGGGACAATGGGCAATGGAGAAGGCCTGATGTTGATTGAAACTAGCCAAAGTTGATCGCAGTACTGTAGATAGGGAACTTTTTTTTTTTTAATTTTTCACTGTTCGTGTCAGGCTCGGCTAGAGGCCGAGTTTTCCGCATCCGTAGGAACGCCACCACCCTTCAAGGATCAAGGCGCAGATGCAGCTCCTAAAGCGGTGGGAGGTGAGTAGACCAGCTCACCAGCAAGAGGTCAAAGACCGAAAATCCCATTCACTGCATCCATGTTTGTTTTTTAGAAAGTGAACTATGTATGATATAAATTATTTTGCAATCTTTGCAGCGCATCCGTATCGTATTGAAATCTGGATATTGCAAGTACACTGGATGTGATGAGGATACTGGTGCAAACGGTTCCAATGGTGTGTTTGTGTTCATGGTGTTCGCCTGTTCCCATTTGAATTGTGCATAGTGTAAAGGGCTTGGTGAGCTGATGTGATGAAGCGGCCGTAAAATATGCCCAAATGTACTGGCAAATCCTTCTCCGTTGACCTACGGTAACAATTGGCGAATCTGAGGAATATGTAAAGGTCTGGAACACTACGTACAAGGGATATTCCAAGTTGGACAATGCCATAGAAGCCATGGTCTCTATGTACTTTCAAATGTGGTATCCAAATTTACCTTTCACAGAGGTGTTCCCTAGGCTGCATTCGATTGTAGAAACTGGATCCCGATCCCCGCCGACCAGATCACTTCGATCGAACGGATACAATCGAATGTGCACAACCGATAATCCGTTTCAAGGCCTTAGCAACCGCGTTGCTACAGCTCATCCCGTAGTATAAGCGTTGTGGTAAACTCTTGACCTAGTGTACGCATATTGCGAGTTTTGAGTAGATGCGAGTCGTACTATCGAAATGAATCTGTCGAATCCGTCGAATCCGTCTCTGGGAGGTGGGTTGACTGGATCCGAATCCGTGCTCTCGGGATCCGGATTCGTACAATCGAACATGCACAAATTTGGCGAATCCGGGGCTGATGGATTCGTACAATCGAAAATGCCCCTAGACCCCTGTGAGTGATTTTCAAGAAAAAATATTTTCCAAAAATATGCCCTTACAAATGACACGAATGCCAAGGTTGAGGACCAAAGGCCTAATTAACACCGAGGAGGGAATGGTAATACTCTACAACACTATGGGTGGAATTAGGGTGCTTGGAGACTCCTGTTGATAACCCAAACCTGTACATAATGCCACCTCCAATGGTGCGCTTATAAGATCGGGGTAGTGGTTGCATTGCAGGCGGGTACGCAGGGTCACCTCTAGGGGGGTTTCCAACCGAATCACAAACAATGACTCGTTATAACCCTTTCTAAAGTGCCCTAGGAAATTTTCAAAATTATGCATTTTTTCGTGTTCTTTGGATCATAACTTCAGTTCTACTTACTCAATCTTCATTATCTTAGGCTGCAAGATGGAGACACAAGGGAGAACCTGTCATCATCCCTTCCAACCATGAGCTCCTAACAGAGACGTCATCATTACTTCCTCATGTCTTTGTCAACTCTCATGATGTCGACGTTGTCCAACACTTGTTTCTCGGCAGGGCTGTGTTTGCAGAAGAAAGTAGCAGAGAGTAAGAGGAGTTGCAGTTGCAAGTTACAGTGATCGGTGGAGACAATGCAGGAAAGGGAGAATTGAAATGTGACTGAGATGAATGGGTTTTTTTCAATGCATGATGTCAAAGTTCCATTGGAGAAGTGTACGCTTCTCGTTGGCTGAGTATTCGAAAGAAACGAGAAGCAATGTTCTCTCGAACTTCGAAAATTTGCGAAGCTTGTTTTATGCTTACTGGTATTATTATTTATATTTTTTTGTTGTGGCACGCAGTGCAGGTTGACATCACTGTAGTTGTTTTGTCTTGCATTGTGGCTGTCCGCAGCCGACCGGCCTGCACTGTGGTTTTGCTCTGTTGCAAATGTGAGCCTTTGTGAGGTGTGAGAGAGAACAGTAGGCTATTTGGTACTGTCAAGCACAAGGTCATGTGAGGAAGTATGTCTGTGGAGCATGCATGTAGGAGCCAAGCAAGGGAGCAGTAATAAGCACTGCACTGCACAGTACAGGTGCACCCTAAGGCAGGATGCGCATATTTCGATGTACCGTATTTTCCGGTGTGTTAGCCGCACGCGCACCGGGGTTTAAGCTCCCCCCCCCTTTGAACCCTAAATTCGTACATGTACATGTATGTTTGTTGGCATCCGGTGTATAAGCCGCACACCAGACTTTCATTATTATGTTGTTCCCTCAACAATGGCACAAATTCACCCTAGCTTCATGAATACACTACATGTAGTACCACTTCCGGACCTCAGTGTGGGTCTCACATGTAGTGGCACTTCCGGACCTGAGGGTCTCTAGGCATTACTTAGTATAAGCATTGGGGCCGGGCTGTGTAGACATTGAATGGGACCGTCTGGTTTATTCATGAGGTCGGTTTGGTACGACGCTTCGTTTGCCCGATAATCCCTGTCACAACCGCACTGCATACTTGCAACCCTTGTTACTGTGCAACACCAGATAATCATACAATATACACTGAGTGGGAAAATGGCGGGTTTGGGAGCACATTCGGCTGGGAACGGAGATTTCATGGCTTCCGAACGAGACCATTCCGCTCTTGTCCAGAAGACAAACCCTATCATTCCATTTTCCATTATTGCTTCCAACAGATTCACACTCTCACTCTTGGACCTCTACAGAATGCTGGTTTCTTTCATTGCGAAGTCCTTGCCATTCTTGCGTTTCGGTCACTCCACGTTGTAGATGCAGCCGTGGCTCATGGCCAAATGAGCGGGAGCTCTGAAAGACATGGAATCAGTCCAATACAGGGACCGGCACTGACTCAACTGGACGGGGAAGCCAGGGGTGGTCTATCTCTTTGCCATATCTAGTATCTACCCACCACATGGCTTGTGAATGTGAAAGCCTGGACCTAGAATCTCCACACAAGTGGATTTCAGCAAAACGATTCTCACACAGCGGCCATGACACACTGAACCAAGTCCGCCTTTGCCATGGCAGCAGCTGTGTGATGAGTGTTTTCCAAACACAAAACTCTGAGAAACACCGGAAAAGAAGGACTTCGTTGCATTGTTGCAGTGTGACAGTTGTACTACTGGCCCTGTCTACTGGATGTAGAGCACTATGTGCAGCCTGGGGATTTCTGATACCTGTTTAAGTGGACCCCATGTGAACCAGAAAGCACAATCATCTTACCCACCTCCCCCATCTCTCTCCCCCCCCCCCCCCCTCCCTGCCTCCCTCCCCCTTCTCCCTAGCCCTTGGCAGATAATGCTCGGAAATTGACAGGTTCTGCTCAACAAGTAGTGAGTTTGGCAGAACCGTACATATGCACAGGCGGATAATGTTAGTTATTATGTGGAAATTGTGTCTACTAGCACTGCTAGTTATTTGGAGCCATTATGCTACATGTAGTTATAATGCTAGCAGCGCTGATAGTGCCACATAATGGCAATCCTTGCGGTGGGAAGTAATGACGTCCCTATGCAGTCACTCGGAATATGGCAGTATCACAGGGCGAACACGGTGAAAAAACGCTCACGCTTTGATTACATCAGTGCAGAGGGCTACCATGTACCAGCGTCGCAGGGAGCAGCAGTGTGTTTCTCTGCGCTCTAAAAATAGCGCTACTTTTCACGGTGGTGCCAACAGACTGGACTTAGTGCCAGTTTCACACATCGATTGTGCTGGACAAGGTCACATTTGGAGACGTTATGCTAGGGCAGTGCCCCACATGGGTCATTATGCTAGTTATTATGCTAGCATTATCCGCCGGTGCCTAACCCTACAACCTTATGGCAGGCACAGCCTTGAATTTTGATCCATTTCTCTATCCAAATACCAAACATGCACGAAACCGGCATACCATGATAACTATACCAAATGCCAATTTTCCGCCCGCATTATCTGCCAAGAGCTTAGGGCTACCCCCACCCCACCCCCAGCCAACTTTGATGCCGTTACAAATACAAGGTCGTAGCACCCAGCCAGGGTCCGGATTTCTATTTCAAAAAGGTCAACCCACCCAATTAGTGCAAGCAAGCATAGGGTTTTCATCAATAATGTTCATATCCGGTCAAGTTAGTTGCCCTTTTGGCCGAACCACCTGAAATCCCGCATTACAGCGCTGCAATCACTTTCTATTGTACTGAAGTAGGACCAACGGGCAGGTCACTAGTCAAACCACCCTGGATAAGAAGACGACCTGTAGATCATGGGAATCACATTTGTAAGGTTCCTTGAGCGGTCGGCTAAGACAGGTTTCACTGACTGCCATCATAATTATTGTATACAATCACGCTCCTTGTAAGACGGAAAACAGGTCTTCCGAGGCCATTATGCATTATGCCAATTTATGGTAACACAAGAAGAGGGTTTCAGAAAATGGGCAATCGGAAAGACCGTCCAAGTGGGAAATCATCACTAATTCCTTGCTCACCGTTTTGCGAAGATGTCACTGGCCGTTTGACTCTGAGTGCCCTTGGACTAGTTAGCTCATAGCGGAGCCCCCAGCCAATACCTACACACAGATTATCTCTTACTGGTAATTGCCACCGACCGCGTACCGCCGCCATCACCAGAGCAATCCAGGACTTCGACGGTGCATTACAATACTAGTACAGTAGTAGTGCTCAACATTGCAAACGTTGGTTATAAAAAGTAAAAACTTGACAGATTGACAGAGCAACTCGGCTTGAGCGCGAGCGTCCTGGCGAGCGCTCACACATAACAAGTCATGTCTCCTTCTTATTAGTATACTATTACTATATTAGTACAGTACATAGTAGGTTGTCCTTTCCGACCTCTGGCTCCAGACTAAAGCCAGCACAAGTAAATGTGCAATCAAACGATGAAACAAGATCTTGTCAAAAACGTCAAGACGCAGGTGCAGACGCAAACGAGCACATTAAATAATCGGTGTGGGACATCGCCACGCTAGCCTACCCCAGCGAGTCTACCAGATCTTCATCACTCCGACGTAGATCTACGACTGTGATGAGTCTCAGACACTCATCCTAGATCCTGGGCAGGGTTTTTTACTTTTCACGACTCCTTGCAGGTCTACTGTAGACTCTACCATGTGTACTGGCATGGTGTAGAGTCTAGGCTCGCACTGGCACCATGACCATGTCCATGGTCTACAAGTATAAGACTACAAATCTACACTACACTCTACAGCGTCTTTTTTCACCACACCTATTTTTACCTGATGTCAGTGATTTCCCATATCAGGATAGTGGAAAAAGGAGCTAATGCGGGCAGATCTGACATTCTGCGTGGAGCCTCCAGCTTCTGACACGTCTCCCACAGTCCCAGCCAGCCAACTACTCATAATAGTCATGCTCACTGCGGCTCCGACTTCTCCTGCCAGCTGAGCTGGCCCATGCACGGTCAGCCTGCTTGTGTGCGTCAACACTCCGGGAGCTGAGACTGATATGAGTAGATCTACCGAGTCCAGGTAGATCTACAATCATGTTCCTGCTGGTCCAGTCTCACAACATGTAAATGATTGTAATGAAGATCAACACAGCAACAACAACATGCTACTTGCTAGCTCGGCGCTATCCGATCCGGTGAATGACGTGTGATCAAAGCGTCCCCGGCCCAATCCCCATCTTCAATTTTTTTGCGAAATTGGTGCGATAAACACTGCGTGATCGATCGTGAGATATGTGAAGAGGTACTCTAATAATAATTCATAGCTCACGAAAGCGGGCGAAGTGTTCGGTTGTAGAAAAACAATGAACAGACGACCCACTCTGTGGCACTTGGATGAATCGCACGAACACTCTCTGGACACGGTGAGGAAATCCAAGAGGAGTCGCTGGTTTGTGGGGACGTCGCCTGAAATTACGCCGACCACCCCGTCCATCGACAGCGCTGCGATCAGAAGCAATAGCGCCGGCAGCGGAAACACGACTCAAGAAGAACTGGACGACAGTGCGCGCTGTGACGACTCCGTACACTCGGAGCAAAGTGATATTCGTTCCACGGCATCGCTCTCGCCCTCATCTCCAGCCACCTCAGCAGTGGCAACGAGGGAGAGTGATTTGACAGCTTCAACCGAGCGAATGGACTCTCCGGCGAGTTCTCCGTCCCTGAGCGAGAATCGCCTGGTCCGTCGGTCATCTCAGGAGCGCCAACGCCTCCTGCAGATGATCAGTGATTTTAACGTTCACAGGCAAGGTCGACTGGGTGAAATAGAGATACGCGATGGTGAAGAAGGTGAAATAATATTCGAAGGTGTGCTGAGAGTTTACTGGGGCGTAAAGAAGCCAATTTTCCTCAGCTCTGAGAAAATCGAAGATCTATCGCCGCAGCGCCGAAGACGCTCGAAAAACATCCTCGCCGCCGACCTGAAGAAAATGTCCGGCGGCAAGAGAACGTGGTCTCAGTCAGCCGGGGCGCGTCGCCGTATAGGTACTGGTGGCGCGCCGGCGCTTGGACGTAGCGAGACGGTGGAGGAGCAAGAGGCGGCCGCGGCGCAGCCACGCGCACGCTCTCTGCCGGACGCTACGTCGGTGCTTGGCGACGATGCAGCGCCAATGTCACAGGCTGCTGCTGCGGACGGCAAGCACAGGCGGCGAGCAACTGTTGGCACGGCGACGGTGGTGGCGATGTCATCGAAAGGGCAGCCGTCGCGCCTCACACCGACGCCGGAGAATACTGAGCTAGAGGTGTCAAAGCGCCATCAAACAGTATCCGCCGGCACACCGCCAACAGCCCGTGTCGCCATCACACTCGGCTCGACTGGTAACGGAACTGCGGAGGAAAATGCCGCGTCCGCCAAGGTGGAATTTCGCCGGTCGTCCGAACCGATGCTACCCAAAGAGACCGAGCTAGCGAGCACAGCGCGGAAAGCAAAAGTCCAGAGGTCAGTGAGTACGCAGGAGGGCAAATGGCAGGTCCTGGTGGATCGTGTTAATCGCCGCGCCAAGCGTACATCCTACCATGCCGCCGTCGAGGACAAGAATGCCAGCGTCCTGGATCCGTTCATTCCGCCGCGTGGCTCCATGAGCAATGTATGCATAGATTCCGAAGCAACCACGGTCGAGGTAAGTGCATGTAGTGTATACTGTCTGTCGCCATATTGTCTCTCTCCGTACTGTCTCTCTTTCTCTCGTCCTACAACCTGTAGCACACGTGGGCTGAAGCACGCACGTCACGTGATCGGCTTTTGGTCCAGTCCCGATGTGCTTCAGACGGCATGATGTTTGTGTATTTTTGTATGACACAGTAAATTAAGTGCAAGCGGAATGTGTGTTGACTGAGTGCACAAATGTGGTGTGGCGGAGTGGGTAAATATTTCCGTCTGTAAACCATGTTTTGTCAAGTAATTGCTGACGGCAGGGTGGTCTCTGACGGCCAAGAAACACCTTCTCGATGGTTTCTACTTTCAACCTGTGTTTCTCAAGGGTCAAATGCATGTTCAAGACCACCCCATTGCTGCACTATCCGCTAGCAGTTGTACACATTTCAGTAAATTGTTAGCATGCAGATGGAAGGCCGCAGACCGAGGGCTTTGTCTTAGCTTGACGTGCTGACTGTGCTTCAGTGACGCCAAGGGTTGTGCTGGCCAGAAATATAGCCCAGCTGCGTGTAGCTTTAGAATTTAGATCCAACAGTTTCAGTATCAGTTATGCTAGTCACAGTGCATGCTCAGGGCTGTTTTTCCTGTACCTGCATGTCCATGTGTGTGTGTGTGTGTGTGTGTGTGTGTGTGTGTGTGTGTGTGTGTGTGTGTGTGTGTGTGTGTGTGTGTGTGTGTGTACGATTGTACTGGCGTGTGTGCTTGTGTATGTATGTGTCCATGCCTGGGTTTAAATGTCCTGCATGCATGCATGAATGTGCAGGTCATCCGGGCTCTACTGCGCAAGGTCAATGCCATCGACGAGCCTGCGCGCTTTGCCGTCTTTGCTGTCAAGGACAACGGAGAGGTGAAGCGACTCCGGGACGACGAGTCACCGCTCTATCGGCGACTGCACCTCGGTCCTAAAGAAGATCTAGCAAAGCTGTGGATAATGGAGGCACGGGACACTGACTCGGTGTCGCTGTCGGCAGATGTCGCTCAGTTCTACAACATGTCCATGCCGTTCCTGCAGACGCTCGTGGAGCGCTACCAAGAGGAGGAAGATCGTGCCGAGGAGAAGATCCGCGAGCGCTTCTTGTCCGAACGTGAATGCCTTATAGAGATGATAGAGGAGATGGAGGCCCTGGACAACGGCATTGGTTCTCTTGTCTGATAGCGGATAACCAACGTATATGGTGTCATCAGTGAGAGACCATCAAATCTCAGCATCGACCCAGTACTAGTATCGCCTGTCAACTTGAGTGACAGTGAAGTTTTCTTAGGAATTAACAGGCAAGCAACTATCTTAGGATTTGAACTGTTTCCCCATGTTTTTTTAGTGTTGTGTCGGTTGTCAACAATTTGAGATTGGAGTACGTTGATTTTCGCTATTTGTTTTACAAAATTTTCCAGATTTTCCGCTGTCGATAACTACTCATCAATGTTGACACTTTTCTTTATCACCGAGATTTGAAGCTAACGGCGACCAGCTTGACTCAGTTGAGCTATTATATATATTTCCTGGCCCAGCGACTGAACTGATGCGTTCCATGTAGTCTGCAACAGGAGCTGTGTTTTGTGGACACGTTTGGTCTACACTACGGAACATCGCAAACGATTTCAATGAAACTGAGATCCGTTTGATTGTGTTCTCAGCGGCCCAGTGCCCGTAGCAGCACGGCGTAAAATATGGCTTACACCGTTACAGCCTACGGTGTCGTCGGTACACTCATCATTTAGCTGGCATCAGTCTACGCGTGTCTGCCGCATACACATACGGATATGCGGCAGCTGCGCAGACACATGTGGGGTCAAGAAAGCATACACCAACTGTGTCGTGTTGAAATTCTGCCTGCAGACTGAGAAATTCCGCCTTCACTTTGGAATGGGGCCGCGGCCCCATTGTTGGGGTATTTCCCACAGAGAAACATTTTGCACATAAAATAAAATAAATAAGTACTTGAATGTAGCGGGCCATTCAATGATTGTTTCTGGCGATGGCCAAAGAAAGGCAAACACATTCTTTCTTTGGCGGCCGATAGTAAACCACAACAGCAAAAAAACATACCCGCAGAAAAAATGAGTGCAAAAAGTTCAAAAACACCTACAAAGTAGGCCCAGACAGATCCTGCCGGCAATTCTTTCGGCAAAATATCGAAGAATTTAAAGAGCGGAAATTGCCGGCAAAATCGGAGCAAAATATCGAGGTGTTGGGTAAAATCGATGCCTGATACTTGGATTTCCTTGTTTCTTACCCGTTCAGCAGGATACACTGCCCAGGACGAGATCATGTCACCGAAATATCACTGGGATTCACTGTGGATCGACATGATTTAGGAAGAACTCAGGAACACGTCCGTGGAAACCCGTGTTGAGAAACCGACCCTGCGATTTTTATGAAACGTTGTACGGGATTGTGCGGGAAGTAGATTAAAATACACGTTTTTCCGGAGCAAAATGGAGCAAAATATCGAGTTTCTTGTGCCAGGATCGGCAAAATATCGAAGATTTCGCAGCAACATTTTGCGGCAAAATATCGAGGCGAGCGGAGCAGAATCTGTCTGGGCCTACGAGCTTTCAGTACATGTACTCGTACAACAACAAGAGTGAAGTCAAACAGAAAGAGAGATGAGTTGTGTTTGTAGACATTTATGTTTTAAATTTTTCTTCCAAAGCTAGAGTTAGCTGCATAGGGACGGTATGCCAAGTACTTTCTACCAAGAGTGTGAGTGGAGCTCCGAGATTTCGCGGAGGTGATGATCAGCGTCATTATGGCCAGCAAGACGACGTGTTCGTGGTGCTCCTTTCACATTGCAACATAACGGCAGCTCCACTCGACATCAACATCTGCGTGTCATGCTGTTGTGTGTTTCGTAAGGTTAGCCCCTTGCCGGAGTGGAGAATTTGAAATGCAATACGTATAGCTACGTGTAGAGTTTGGACAAGCCCTTCTCCTGCCTTGGTGGATCAAGCATGTTGAGATTTAGGAAAGCCGGACAGCTGGCGTCCAGCTCACTTTGTGGAAGATGGCGTTGCATGAGTGGTGTAGCTGATGCTAGTACTACTACTGCTGCTTCACACTCACAGCCTTCTGGCTCGGATTACACAGGAGATCTTGATTATGACGTCGTACTGACTGGCGGCGGTATAATGGGCAGCAGTGCAGCCTATTTCCTTTCGAAGCGCATTGACCCGCGCAGGATCTGCGTAGTGGAACGCGATCCGACGTACAAGCTGGCGTCCACACCGCTCTCCGTCGGCGGCGTTCGCCATCAGTTCTCGAATCGCGAGAACGTGCTCATGTCCATGTTTGCGATGGAGTTCATACAGACGATGGGCAAGGAGCTGCACGTGGAGGGACATGACCCACCCGACGCTCATTTCTGTGACGACGGCTATCTGCTACTTGCATCCAGCGCTGGCGTGGATACACTTCGCGAGAACTATGCCGTTCAACAGGAGTGCAACGCTTCAGTGCGGCTCATGACCAGGACTGAGCTGGCCGACAAGTTTCCCTGGGTGAATCTGGACGGCATTGAGCTGGGCTGCTATGGCTTCAAAAACGAGGGCTGGGTGGACCCCTGGTCGCTGCTGCGCGCGTTCCGCGCCAAGGCCGCGTCCTCGGGCGTTCGGTTTCTGACGGGAACGGTGACGTCGGTGCAGTGTGATGGCACGGCGGTGACCGGTGTGGGTGTGCAGTGCGGGGATAATGGGCACGACGGCGGTGGTGAAGCAGCAACGACGACGACGACAGCGGACCTTAAGTGTAACTATCTGGTTAACTCGGCTGGGCCATTCGCCGCCGACGTCGCGGCCATGGCGGGAATCGGTGCGCTGGAGCGACTGGCGCACCTAGACCAGTCGGAGCTGGACCCGCGGCTGGCCGTACCGCTGCCGGTCAAGGCGCGCCGACGCTGCGTGTTTGGCGTGGACCAGTGCGACGGCCCGGTGTCACACTGCCCGCTCACGGTGGACACGTCCGGTGCGTACATCCGCCGCGAGGGCACCGGCGGAATGTTCCTCTGCGGCAAGTGTCCCGACAAGGAAGACGACCACAACAACCTTGACTTGAGCGTGGACTACGCGTTCTTTGAAGAAACCCTCTGGCCACTGATCGCGAATCGCGCGCCGGTGTTCGAAGGCCTCAAGCTGAAGAACGCGTGGGCAGGCTACTACGACTACAACACGTTTGATCAGAATGGCATTATTGGCCGCCACCCGGTCGTCTCCAACTTCCTCTTTGCCAACGGTTTCAGCGGACATGGACTGCAGCACGGTGCGGCGGTTGGCAGGGCGATCAGCGAGATTGTCTGCGACGGTGCGTCGCACTCGATCAACCTGGACCGTCTGGGCTTCGAGAGGATCATTGCGCAACGGCCGTGCCTGGAGAAGAACGTCATATGAGCCGGCACTTTAAAACTGAGTGCAGTATGGTGCCGGTAAGCGATTGCCGTGGTGCTTCTAGTAGTCGTGTATTTAACTCAAATTATTATCACTGATAGCGGTAGATAAGCCAAACGAATTTTACTAATTGGAGTGAGATCAGCTTGAATTGGACCAAAGTCGATTGATGCACCCACCCCGGTATTAGCCTGTTGGGCCATCATCAACAGCCTGTAGCTGTTGGTAACTTACACAGTCATAACACGTTTGTTTTAATATTGTATTTTTATTTTTTTTTATCATGAATGGTTGTCACGGTGATGACCCAGCAGTACGAATATTCGGTACATTCTTCTTTCTTACTCACTTTAGCTTTTTATGCACGGAATCGATATTTTTTGGTGGCTGTAGTGTTATTTTTATATCTAGCCATGCAGGTGTTCTCATGCAATACTACCGTAATAGCTCTGCTTTCTCAAGTGTTGTGTACTCTTGCTTACATGATGTTTACTACTTGTATTTAAAAAAATTAATATGTGTTACGATGACAGCATGTTACAAGGCGGAGGACACACTGCATGGAAAACAGTGTTCCTGACTGCAACCATAAACCGGTTGGTAGAGTCTCGGTCTTGCAACCAGTCGCGAACACTGTTTTCCTACACTGTGCCCTCCGCCTTGTGCTGTGCTGGCATTGTATCGAACCATCAAGCGAGGCGTGCGTATACCATGCGGTTTACTTGTGTGAGAATGCAGGAGTCCTGCGGGAGTCCCACGCACACCCAGCCTCCCTCCCCGCATCCATGTACTACCAGTACCACTGTTTTTTGTAAATCGGTCACAGGGAGAAAGAACACTAGTCATGGGGGGGGGGGGGGGACTTGTGAGGTGTTTGTACGGAGGTGGAAATAGGCTCACTCTGACTGACATTTACACACGTCAGTACCCCTTATTTAAGGACGTTTAGCAACGCGAAAGTTCGAAAGAAAATTCGAGTCTGGGAATGAGTACAGAAACAAAGGTCGAAACTTCGAAAACTTGGACGCGAAGTTGCAGTGATTTGCGAAAGTAACTTTCTCTTTTCTCGGTACGCACTTCACTACAGGGAGTAGTAATTTTACAGCCCCTGCTTGAGACTGAGCTGCATATACGGTACGATACTATAAGATTCAAATAGCTTCGAGAAAAAGTCGTTTCGCATTGCTAAACCTCGCAAGTTTTCTTTTTCGAAATAGATTTTCGCGAAATATCACCACCACCAAAAGTTCGAATTTTCGCGTTGCTAAACGTCCCTATTATGGCACTTTTCTAACTACTTGTAGGTATAAATCTCTTTCAATGAGCGCATTCAATAACACACTTCCGTAAATTCTAGAATTCCCTACGATGGATACACCGTTCGATTACACAGATTTCTTCGTCAGAATTGAATTGATGGAGTCCGTATTCCTAGGTGAATGCAGAATTTCTAATACACCCGCCAGAATCTACGCACTTTGTGTTACGCTTTTTTGGCACCACACATGTCTACTAGTACTACAGCATGTGCACCACTATAACTATATATAAGTTTAAAATCTGGGTGCAGAACGTGTACTTGAACACAAGCACCCCCAGTGAATACCAAGGGACCATGAAATGGGTTTCTACAACTCCCTGCATGCAACGGAACAACATTATGTTGTAGTAATCTTGTGAAACTCCACTCTGGACAAGAAGGATTTGAGTGACTTGCACCCTCGTTCCTGAACAAGTGGTCTCTGAAGACTACTCCGAGGGGGTTCCCCCCTCGCAGCTAACTGAGCAATGCAAGCGAAAACTAGACGGAGACTAAAATGACAGCAACGAAAATACTGGTGCAATACCATTTCAAACATGAACTAAAACCACAAAGGGCAGGAGCTACGATTATAACTATCGAGGTGATCTGGGCTCATAATTAGAATCACACGGGGAAACGTTGCCAGCAAAGAATGCACCGCGCGCATGCGCGAGGAGGGGAGGGATGGGGTGGGGGGGGGGGGGGGGGCTAATAAGATTTCTAAGGTTGTCTTGGAGAAAAAGTCCATCGTGGCGGAAAGCACAGCAGCTAAAAAGTCGGTTAAGAAAAGATCAAAAGCGGAGAGAGAGAGAGAGAAATCCCAAACCAAGAAACCCGAACATTTGATCTTGGCCATACCATGGCAATACTTGTCGTCTAGGACTCAAAAGACAATAGCGGAAGACTACCCGAGATAAAGCAATGCAGAGAGAGGAAGTCGGTCATGATGCCAGTGTCACAAGGTAAGGCGATGCGCTCTTAGCTCCAAGCATCCACCACGTAGTGGCCACGCTGCTTCAAGCTCTTCACAAACTTCTCGGCGTCCGGCAGCGACCTCTCGCCATGCTGCTGAATGATCTTGAGCAGCATCAGGTGCACATCCTTGGCCATTGCCTTCGCATCACTACACACCAACACATGTACATCCACACATGTTGCCAACACAGCATCAGAGTACACACCACACACCAATACAGTCAGGCGATATGCATTTTACTGAATGGCTTTCCTTTTTCTTTTCTTTTTAACTTTTACAGTAAACTATCATTGGAGCTTTTCTAAATACTGTTGCATGATGTCCATACATTTCTTAGTGAAGGGAGTTGTTGTTGATTCTATTTGGATTTGCTGACCAAAACGGACAAATATATCCCATAACAATGGGGGGGGGGGGCAGCCTGACAATCACAGGGAAGGGTTTTGGTGCAGTGCAAGACAACAACAACCAAAACATGACATGTGACCCCCAACGACATTACTGGAAGCAGCTCTTCCGTTTGCACTCCTGGATCCAGCAAGACAGCGACATTGTTGCTGTGTTCCCTCCTCGGGAATGGCCTAACGCTACTGGGCATTCTCCAGTCCGTCAACTTGCCAGTACCGATGCTATGCTGGTGCAGTGGAATGGGAACCACTCGGGCCTGCTCTACAGTGCACCAGTGTGCAGCGGCCCTACCCCTTGTGACAATGGTTCTGACTTCTGAGTGTTGCAGTAGCATGGCATCATTCGCACGCACGCTAGCTTGCAAGTGCATGGGGTAACAACGGCGCGCTGCACAACATGCAACGTCGTAACGTGATGCGGAATGTCTTAGTGGCCAACTTTGCAGCTCTTATTCCACAACTACTGCAACTACCATGGACATAACCATACACATGCTCACAACACTCTTCCCACCGTCTCTGCCGACTGGCTACACCAATTACTACTGGCAATTAGTAAAACAGAATGAAGCTATCCGGATTTTCAGGCACAGCTTCTATTTCATTGATCGGCATGGCCCAGGGCCGTTTGAGGAGTGTTGTTCTGTGAGGATGTATGGTTGAACCACTGGATGTATGGTTGAACCACAGACTCCACTGCACCCATCCATTACAACTTATAATGGAAGGCTCCAGTGGAGCCTGCATACACCGAGAAAAGTCCTCTGGTGGTGCTAAGAAAACGGCTCCCACGTTCTCGTGGGTGACACGTGAGTTTCAAAATCGTGTCAGCAGAACCTGATGGTTTGTTGCTGTCTTGAGCAAAAGTATTTTAAAAAAATTCGCGGTTCGCGCAAGGCTCGGCTGGAGGCCGAGGTTTCCGTATCCGTAGTAACGCCACCACCCTCTATGGATCAAGGCACAGATGCAGCCGGAGCAAAACTAAACTTAAACTTCCCAAACAAGCCAACTTACCCGCAGACGTAGAAGTGAGCGTGTTGCCTATTCAACAAATCCCACACCTCAGCACCGTCCTCGTTCAGCAAGTCGGATACATAGATCTTCTCCGGCTGGTCTCGAGAGTAAGCAACGCGCAGGTTCAAGGAGTCCTTCTCCACGTACGACTCCATTTCCTCCTGATACAGGAAGTCTTCGGACTTGTGACGGCAGCCAAAGTAGAGGCGAGTTTCACCAACCATTTTACCTATAATGTATAACACAACCACAAACGCAAACACAGACCGTCAGCTACAACACAAACTAGTAATACGTGTGTGTGTGTGTGTGTGTGTGTGTGTGTGTGTGTCTGTGTGTGTGCGCACCAGAGAGAGAGAGAGAGAGAGAGAGAGAGAGAGAGAGAGAGAGAGAGAGAGAGAGAGAGAGAGAGAGAGAGAGAGAGAGAGAGAGAGAGAGAGAGAGAGAGAGAGAGAGAGAGAGAGAGAGACAGAGAGAGAGAGACAGAGACAGAGAGAGAGAGAGAGAGAGAGAGAGAGAGAGAGAGAGAGAGAGAGAGAGAGAGAGAGAGAGAGAGAGAGAGAGAGAAGAGAGACAGAGAGAGAGACGTAGTGAGAGATAGATAGAGAAAGGAAGACAAAGAGATAGAGGGAGGGAGAGAGCAGCAACAGCAGCAACAGCGCCTGTGGCGGAAGCAACAGTTACATCAGTAACAGCAGTAGCAGCAGGCATGCAGTTGAGACTGACCAGACTCTTTCAACGCGTGCCGATCCTGAATGAACGCACGGAACGGCGCCACGCCAGTTCCCGGTCCCACCATGATGATGGGAATTGCACAACGCAACGGCGGTCGAAGTGTTGACTTGCGAATGTACACCGGAATACGGGCTTCATCTGTTCCCACTAACCACACACACAGTAGAAAACAAACGGCAGGAGTCAAGCAAGCAACCAACATGTATACAAGGCTGCTACGAAATCATGTACATGTACACATGTACTTTGAAGTACAGTTGCCCTCACTGAAATCCAACCCAAAGAGCAAAACTGACGCCTTGGACCAGTTCTGATGGCATCACTGTACTTGCACATGTGTACGGCCAGCCGCATTCGTACTACTTCCAGGGCGTCAAGGGCCGTGCAAGATGAGGGCGTCAAAATATCCACTTGGGGTCGGATTTCAACAGGCATAACTGTAGTTCATACTGGAAGACCAGATATTTTTAATGATCTCCGGATTTTTGTGGGTTAGCGAGGTGAAATTCTAACGAATTCTGTCTCAAACCGGCAGATGACTGTACATGTACATATTGTTTTGCACATAACGACTTCAAAATTAATGTTAAAGGGGAAGTTAAGGCAAAAATTGAAATTTCACCAGTTGTAGTCTTCGGGGTGCTGAGTCGAATGGTCGTGGTCCGAGGAAGCTGAGATGCTCCCTTCCTACTTGAATCCCAATCAAACTCGCGCACTTCCACCGAAACTGGGTGACTGCACCCTACTAGATGGGGATCTGTATGCAAAATGTCACTAAAAGCGCCATTTCGTTCTTATAAAAGCATGGATGACCGCGATTGGCCCATATGTTGTAGTCTTTTGGACGCTGAGTCGATTGGTTTTGGTCCGAAAAGGCTGCGATGCAGCGTTCCTCCTTTATTCCCAATCGAACATGGTTGAACAAGCGGTCACGTGCTCTTGCGTACGCCAGTCACCTGGTCACCGTGCCTGCAGGGTACAACCTACTAGCCTGTTTGACCTTTTTTGGGCGCAGTCCTGTCACTCGAGTTGAACTCGAGTTGAACCTTGGTGTGAAAGTTGTCGCCTGCTGGCGTGGTGACCAGGTGATTTGGGTACCCAGGAGCACGTGACCGCTTGTTCAACCATGTTCGATTGGGAATAAAGGAGGAACGCTGCATCGCAGCCTTTTCGGACCAAAACCAGTCGACTCAGCGTCCAAAAGACTACAACATATGGGCCAATCGCGGTCATCCGTGCTTTTATAAGAACGAAATGGCGCTTTTAGTGACATTTTGCATACAAATCCCCATCTAGTAGGGCGCAGTCACCCAGTTTCGGTGGAAGTGTGCGAGTTCGATTGGGATTCAAGTAGGAAGGGAGCGTCTCAGCTTACTCGGACCAAGACCATTCGACTCAGCACCCCGAAGACTACAACTGGTGAAATTTTAATTTTTGCCTTAACTTCCCCTTTAACGAATTGTTTAATTTCGTTAAACCGTTAGAATAAAATGTTTGCTAACATTACTGGTCTTACAGAGTACTTCAAGTACCACCAACACCCTACACGCGCATCAAGAGGAATTCCCAACCTTTGCCTTGTAGGCTGCGGAGCCAGGAGGTAGTGACACCGCTGCCATGGCGACCAGTCTGGGTGATGTAGTCGTGCGTTGATGCCGTGATGTGGATGCTGTTATCACACACCTGTCCCAAGCATGTGTATGTAGCAACAGGCAACAACAACAACAGCAGCAGCAGCAGCAACAACAACAACAGACAACAGCAGACAGCACAGGTAACGCACACACACACAGTCAGCGTGTGAAAAGACGATTCATGGAAGGAACTGGCGGGATGACGTGCCACGCTTACTGAAAGGCAGATGAAAACAATTTGAATGATGCCAAGCATTGTGTTCACGTTGTCCATGCAAGCATTCACACTGCCCTACGATCAACATGAAAAGGCTGACAGGATTCTTTTCCACCAGTACGTTTTCCTACAGGTGGCTAGATACAAGTGAAGTTAACCTCATGAAAGACAACGTTGGGTAAACCATTGGAGAAAACAACACCACTCCCTTCAGACCTCGTGCCATTTTTTGACTGAATACTCTCAAGTTTTCGCCTCAACTTCGCAGACAGTACTGGTATTCATCTCACCCTGAGAGACGAGGAGATGGAGTAATATCGGACTTGCAAACGCGGCAGCATTTCCAACACCAGGTCAATAGGCGGCATGAGAGATGGGAGAGCGGTTAGGACATCCAGCACATCTCGGCCGGAAACTCGAATGAAATCGTTGTAGGCCGCCTGCATATGCACAAACGCATGCATGCACGCACGCACACACACGCACAAACACACACCATCATTGAACATGAATTACCGCATGGAAACTCTTGCTAGAGAAAAGTCAAAAGGCATGAGGGCGAATGATAGTAAACCGAGCTTGAACTATGAGCATTGAATACCGGAACTTGTGAAGCTCATCATTTCATGCTCCCCTTTCCTGTGCATTTCATTTTGTGTTGGTTACATGTCAATATTCACCCTCCCTCTTGAACGGCTACTTTCCTTTGTGGGGTTTAGAATACATGATGATGATGACGACGATGCTGAATGAGCCAGGCCAAACGTCAGACCAGACTAGGTCAACAATGTCACATGTACCGTATTTCGCCCGAATATAAGTCGCACCTTTTTTACATTAAACTTCTCGGGCACAGAAGAGGGCGCGACCTACAATCGAGTAATGTATCCTACCCATGTGACTACATTGAACCAACATGGCTCAAACCTGAAAAGGGGGGGGGGGGGTGCGACTTGTAATCAGGGAAATACGGTGTTGTTTCCTTGTGTTTGCTGAGGTATGAAGCAGGAGCGGACACAGAGACACCACCACTCTGCTGCCACCGGCTCTTAGCGATATCGAGCAGTTCGTTGCCCGTAGACCGCCGAAGCCCAGGCGCAGGGAAAGTGCGGGAGGTACTGGTAGAACAAAGTGTCCACAAAATGTCCACAACATGCAGACACATGTTGTACGAGGACTGACGACTCAGTGGCCAGCAGTATAGAGGACATGCAAGACATGACACATAGTACGCTTACCACTCAAACTTCTTCCATATATGCGTTTTGTGCGAAATTAACCCATGAATGGGCATTTCGTCAAGCTAGCTCCCATATAAGGCGGATTTGACGTCATTGCATATCCGCTATACTGTCGATAAGCAAGGGCAAAACTTACACGGCCAGCATCGCCCGATGCAGTCACACGCAACAGCTCCTGTTTGTCCGAATCCTCCGTGCAGTATTCGATCATGCTCTCCAGGAAATTGGTACGTGGCAGGGCACAGATGTCGACATAGTGGGAAAGTATAGTGCGGTACGAGCTGGGGCACGGGAACGGATTCACCTTGCTGGCGCAGGAGTCTAGGAACACAGTACAGCACAGAAGACGAACAGCGCATTGGTGTGGTGCACGCACAGCCATTCAACATCATCACACAGCTTCCCGTATATCCACAAGCACAGCCACACACACATACGCACACACACACACACACACACACACACACACACGTACTACTACTACTACTATGTACAACTGCCACAAAATGGCCACGTCGCTCCCAGAAGCGGGAGACAACAGCGAGAAAAAAGAAACAAGGAGAATAATTGAGGTGAAAGGGGACCGTTCTACACATAGCTAGTGTTTCTGTCTACGGTGGCGGGTGAGGTCCTGCGGGCGGGAGAATCGTTCGTTACATAGGCTGCATTGAATGGGCAGATTAGTCCTCTGGTCCTTTCGCAGTCGTTTGCCTCGAGTACAATTATGGCGGTTAAAACCAGCCTGACTCTTCATGCAGCGATCACAGATCGAGCAATGGTGCTGGCAGCAGTCCAAGTTCAGGCTGCATCTCGTTGAAACAGCTGGTATTTCGTCCGATGTCTGACGCTCCACACAACGATGAACTGCAAAACCGCCAGCGCTTTGAAACCAGCGGTCACAAACTCCACAGTGACGGGCCCCAGGCTGCTGGGCAACAGGTAAGGACCGTACAGCTGAGCACTTGTGACGGTGAATCCCACGAGCAGTGAATGATCGGTTGCAAACCTTGCAGGTGACTTTGTTGTTGTTACACTCCACGAGATCATCCGGAGTCTTTGCAATTGCCTCGCGCCATGCTGGGCGATCCTGAGCCAAAGTGAGCCAATTCACTATGCCACCGAAACGAAGATCACGTGCGACGAGGTCTTTCCATCGCAGTCGTGGCCCACAGGCTGGGCGTGGATCTGAGAAGAAGCTAAACAGTATCAGCTTCGGAAGCCGGTCATCTGGCATTCTGGCGACATGCCCAAGCCACTGCAGACGGCGGTGTCTGACGGTATCAGATGGCAGTGCCATATCACCCCAGCGTCTTCGCAGCTCCTGGTTGTTGACATGCTGCAGCTGTTGATCGAGCCGGGATACACCCAGAATGAACCTGAGGGAGCGGTGGTGGAAGTTGTTGATGGCAACCATGTCTCTCTTCAGCGGAGTCCAGCACTCACAGGCATAGAGCAATGTGGACAGAACGCAAACATCGTAAAGATGGCGCTTGGTGGCGATGGAAAGGTTTCGGTCAAGAAAGACACGGCGCATAAGGTCGAAAGCTGCCGCTGCCTTACCGAGTCTTCTGGCCACATCTGCAGATGAGCGGGTGTCAGCAGTTATCACAGAGCCAAGATACACAAAGGATTTGACACTTTCGATCTCCTCCGGACCAACAAAGAGCGGAAGGCGGTCAGCACATGATAAATTTGCACCAACGGCCATGAACTTGGTCTTCGCTGTACTCAGAGTCAAGCCGAAGGAAGAAGCAACGTTGCTGAACAGCTCCAAAGCCAGTTGAGCTGACTCACGGGATGGTGCAAGTAGTGCTGCATCATCTGCAAACTCCAGGTCGTTGACCGATGTCGTGCCAGTTTGACGGGTTCGCTTGGGAAATAGATTGCCACTTCCATGGATTGAAGATACCAGGGACACACCGTTAACACCAGCTGCTGCTATAGCTGAACGCCATGCTTCCAGCACAAGACCAAAGTACAGGTTAAACAACAGTGGGGCCATAACGCACCCTTGCCGCAAACCATTCTCAACCGAGATGTTCCCAGACACATCACCATCAACCCGAACAGCAGCCTGCATGCCTGAATGGAAGCCGTCAATCAGCTGGATGAGTGACCCAGGCACACCATACACCTCAAGGGCCAGCAACAGTGCAGCGCGCGGTACCGAGTCGTACGCCTTGCGGAGATCGATGAAAACGAGAAAGGCCTTACAGCGGTGCTCGAATGCCTTCTCGACTACCTGTCGCACGCAAAAGATGGCATCTGTGCAGGATCGCCCGCGCCGAAAACCACATTGGCTTTCAGGGAGATGTGCCTCAGCAAGAGGTTGCAGCCGGTCCTGAATAACACGTGCGAGAAGCTTCCCGACGACGTCCAATAAGGCTATTCCCCTCCAGTTGTCACACTTGCTCAAGTCACCTTTTTTTGGAATAGGGACGAGCACAGCATCTTTCCACTCCTGAGGCACAGATGACGCTGACCAGCATGTGGAGAAGAGTGCATCCAGGTGTGGCCGAAGAACAGTAAAGCCGTGCTTCAACAGCTCCGCAACGATGAGAGACGAACCAGCCGACTTGCCGTTGGCCAGATGATGGAGAGCGCACTCAATATCCACAGCCGTTGGAGGGCATGCCAGGCTGTCGTCAACTTCCCGGCAGGACAACTGCTGGAAGACAGAGACATCGAACACACTAATGACATTGAGAACACGGGTGAAATGTTGCTGCCAGCAAACACGCTCTTCCTCCGCTGACACACACAGGGTTCCATCAGATTTGCGAATGGAATGAGAGGCCACAGGTTTCATACCATTGTAGCAGCGCTGGATGTCCCGGATGGCTGACCAGACGCGCTCCCCACTGAACTTGCCAGACTGTGCCATATCCGCCTTTCTTTGCAACCAGACACGCTTTGCCGTTCGAACTGCAGTACGCGCTGCACTACGGGCCTTGCGGAATGCCGAAAGGTCAGCGGGATCAGCAGACTGAAGCCACTGGGCATAGGCACGGTTTCGATGTTGCAGCTTGGGTTCAAGGATTGTTGCGCTGTCTGCAAACCAGTCAGGCTGACGTCGAGATTTCCGTGCAGGGATGGAAGCTTCGGCAGCATCTACAATCGCCGACTTGATAGGCTGCCAGGTGTCTTCATGGGTGACGTGACACGATTTCAGCCGATCACCAAGAGCACTTCGGTACACTGCCCTGTTGCACTCAACAACTTCCCGCTCCTCCTCACTCATACCCGTACACGTCTTCAATTTGCTTACATCGAACATGCTACGTTTCCCAGGGTTTCGCGGTGGCAGGCGCTGGCGGTGGACTGGTGCCGGAAGGCGATAGGTCAGACACACCAATCTGTGATCAGTGCTACACTCTGCACGGCGAACAACATGACAGTCCATGCAGTTGGTACGATCCGCTCGCCTAGTGAAGACAAAGTCGATACAGTGCCATGCCTGCGAGCGTGGGTGTTGCCATGTGTGCAGTTCTGCGTCCCGCTTCTTGAACCAGGTGTTACAGATTTGCAGACCATGCAGAGCCAAGAACAAGAGTAAACGTTCACCAGACTCATTCATAGCTCCAGTACCAAAAGGACCGCGAACTCTGTGCCACTCGTCATCACGCTGCCCTGAACCAACTCGAGCATTGAAGTCTCCGAGTACGATGAGTTTATCAGAGACCGGAATTGACAGAAGCACGTGTTCAAGCGAATTGAAAAATTTGAATTTTTCATCACGACTACTGCGGAAAGTGGGAGCGTAGCAAACAAGAACATGAACCCACTGCGACTTGCCAGACTCCAGAGCAAACTGCAACTTTACGACCATCACACGAGAAGACACAGCTGTCCACTGCCGGCCGCCTGCTGCAAACGCCAGCGCTGAGCGGCCCCGCATCACGAGCGCGACTCCCTCGCCACGAGCGAAATTTTCCACGGGTGTCGGTCGACCAGAAGCAACAACAACAGCATCCTCAACATTGTATACATTGTTGCCAAACCACTTCGTCTCTTGGAGTCCAAGGGTCTCGATACCAAGTCGTCGAGCTTCGCGAACGACGATGTTTATCTTCCTATCTTCCACGATGCAATTCACTTGCTTTGAATTTTTCAAATTCAAATTTCGAGTTGTCGCCGTCTCAACTGGGCCATCACAATTCACCAGACTGCGGACATTCCACGAGCCAAATTTTATCCACGACCTCCGTCTCCTCTTTCTCCTCGTCTCCTTTCTCGCCATTGTACTAAGGGCTTACTAGATAGACGTCCGAGTAGAGAGCCAATCTACACGAACGGGCGCGCGCAGGACGACGACAAGTGGTACGTACACACACATACACACATTACTCAGGCTTCACACTACAACTAGTTACACAAATTACCCAAACAACACGATGTTTTAGGAGTATACATACACAATACAGAATATGTACATGTACTTGTAGCAAAACAGGTTGAAGCTCGAAAAAGATCTCCTCACCTTCTGTTGCAGTCAGGGATACAATCGTATCCAGGTCAATATTGAGACGCTCCCCAATCTGCTCCACCATCCTTGTGTTGTTCACTGGCTGAACAGCGACGTGGTCACCTGGAGAGTACCTGAGACAAACACGTACACGTACACACACGCACGCACACACACACGTACACACACACACAGGAAGGCAACTCGCCAAGGGACTCGCAAATACCCAAAAGCCACAGATAGCATAGACAAGCACATCCATGGCAAATAGAAAAGGAGCTACGGGTACTGGCAACCCACACAAGGATATGCATCAAACCCATCTCCATTTCCACCACCTGAACTGGTACATGCTAGAAACAAAAACGCAGGAGCAGAGATTGCAACAATGTGTGTCAACATCGTACTACTGGTACCCCCCCCCCCCCCCCCAAAAAAACTCCCCCTCTCCTCCCCACCCGACCACACACCTGCCCCCCCCCCCCTCCCCCCTATAGTCAGTTCATCAGTTCTGAGTCGGTATCCGAACAAATAGCAGGGCAGCAGCTGGTACAAACGTGAGAGTGAGACCCTTACTTGATCTTTGCATCCTTGATATCCAGCTCGATGTGCATACACGACCGATCACCGCCCGTGTGCAGCTCTCGGTGGGCCGTGATCTTGCCAATGTACGGGTTCTTGTTGCTGAACGGACTGCACAGAGAAAAAACAAAAAACAGAAAATACAGATCCAAGATGAATTTGGACGCTTCTTGCAGCTTCATTATAATTATCTTATTGTGTGGGCTAACAGCCACACCTCAAATTGCACTGCTTTCTACTCTTAACTGAAAATGATTTTATTCGGTCAACGTTGCTATCTCTATGAAAACACACACCAGTTACAAATGCATTGTTTTCAGCCAGCAGCCAGAGAAGCACGCTCACCATGACAAAGAGAAGCAGACTCCAAGAAAGCTGAATCAGGTACCGTATTTTTTTAAAACAGTTGCAAGTTGAACCCGGTTATAAATCAACACCCCATACCTGGGGCCTCAAATGCCCGGCTCAAGGGCAATTAGACCCCAATTTAAGGTCGACTACCCGTTTTTTAGTTCGGTTTTCGGTCATAAAAGGTCGACTTATAACCGGAAAAATGTGATAGGTCAAATCCTGCGCACAAGAGGGCACTGGGACTACAACTTTAAATATTATTTTCTATTGATTGCGCTCACTGAACTTACATATTATGATGCACAGAATACGAGTGGGTGTGTTACACATGACTTACGGCCTCTGTGTGCGGAACGAGCCCAGTTTGTGTGGCTCGCCGATGAAGGAGTACGCCGGTGCTGGGTCGTGCACGATCTGCTCATATTCACGTAGTCTTCATTCCCAGAGAAACGGAGATGATACACACACACACACACACACACACACACACACACACACACACACACACACACACACACACACACACCAAGAAGCACATGTACGATATTGTCAATACGCTGCTGTATATCGCCATAGCACAGAAAAGCAAGTTCACCGTAATAAGGGTGCACTAAATCACGCACGCACACACTCCACACATGTAAACACACTCTATCACCTGCATTAATGACAGCTTCCAGCGCCCCCCCCCCCCCCCCCCCCATATCCCTGCCCTGCTGTTCATTAGACTTGATTGCGATCGGTTCAGCCAGTAACTCTGAGCTCCTCTGACAAGACCTAACAAGGTGGAAAACAGCTACATACTGTAGTTCCGCGCATATAAGCCCATGGGCTTATATGTGAAATAATGCAGTTTGGGGATAAAATATCCAGTAAAACATGTTCGTTTTTTATCCCATGGGCCAATATTCGAAATTTGAAGGTTCACGAAAAGTACAAGTCCGGGGTCTACCATACTCAACTGGTAAACTGCACTGACCTGCTGTACCATGGTAGGAAGAGTCCACATTGTGAAAAATTCTTGTTGACACGCGAGTCGCATTTGTGTCTGTTTATAAGCCCATGGGCTTATATCCGGATATAGGCCCGTGGGTTTATATGCGCGGAATTACGGTATGGCTGTCCGGAGATTGAGTATACCTACAATAATGTACAGTTGTGCTCGGTGACATCAAACCCAAAGTGCAAAGCTGGCGCCCTGGACCAGTTCTGATGCGAACGAGATCACGGCATACAAACGAAACACGGCACTCACTGTCCAACGTGTTCGGCAGTGATGTTGTACTTCTCACGCATGAAGTCCAGGAACTCCTCGCGCCATGCCAGGAAGTCATCTTCAATGCTGCCATCACAACAGAGCATACAAACATACGCACATTGTCCATACACTGCTGGTGATCGATGGGGTGATGCATGAAACCAAAGTTTTACAGGCACACACACGCACACGTATACACGCACACGCATACACACACACACACACACACACACACACACAAACATGCGTACGCATACACACGTGCACACACACACGTGCACACACACACACACACACACACACACAAAAATAGACCAGACAAAAATGGCCCTAACATGGAGACGGCACTCAAAAGCACACACACACACACACACACACACACACACACACACACACACACACACACACACACACACACACACACACACACACACACACACACACACACACACACACACACACACACACACACACACACACACACACACACACACACAGTGCTGGACTAGTAAACTCTAACAGAATGAGAACAGCACAGAGCCGAATACCACTTACTTAGCATCGTCATCACCCTCTCCACGTCGAAAGAACAGATCACCACCCAACTCCCGCATCTTCTTGTCAACAAACCGTCCCATTAAGTTGTAATGTTCGTACGTTTTGTTACCAAGGCTAAACACCTGATAAACCACCACCAACCACCACCAACCACAACAACAACAAAACAAATCTCATTGAGCATCCAGTAGGAAGACGTTCCCATCAGTGAGTGCATTCGATTATGCACTTGAATCGATACATGAATCCATTCATGAATCGATTCGCGCTATTCACATCACCCCATGTGAATAGGGTGAATGGATTCCGAATCGATTCCAGGGCTCATGACATGAAAATCAAACGACTTGAATGCACTTGAATCGATTCATGAATCAATTCAAGTCCGTCATCGAACGCATTCAGTGTGGGGAGTAAGTAAAAGAAAGTAAAGTATGAACATCTGCGGGTATACCACCGGCTTACAATTGTGTTGAAGAACACAACCACCTTAGAAAGTTTCGCTCGTGCCAGGCCACCACCATGCCTGATAATACCAGGGTGGCAGATGTGGTAGGGAGTGCCGAAGCAAAACAATACAAACCCAGGGGATTCCCCTCATCCACGACGTTGAGCAGTGCTCCTCATGACTGTACTCAGTCCCCGTTATGCAAACCAAGAACAAAGCTTGCTTTCATGCGTACTTGGAGTTATCCTGAAGGCTCGCAAGTCCTGGGGCCATTAAAGGTTTTTTTTAAAGAGTAAAGTTTGCACATCCGCGTACCACCGGCTTGCGATTGTAATGAGAAACACAGCCAGCTTAGACCATTAGTGCCTACTACTGCAAAAGCCATATATATAACGAAGTGCTAACTCTAACGAGTTAACGAGGAGAAATCTGTCGTTAAAATAGAAATCGTTATACAGAAATCGATACATATACTGTCCTATTGAGCGTTGAGAATAAGTGAGAATCGCTACCTTTGGTACAAGTAAACCAGTCGACTTTGGGAAATCGTTATAATATATGCGCCTCGTTAGAATAATGGCTTTTACAGTATTGTAATGAGAAACACAACCAGCTTAGACCATTAGTGCCCACTATAGTTATCGATCTCACCGTGAAACGCAAGCCCTCCATGATGGGCTCGTCGGTCTCGGCCTCGGTCAGGAAGTCAAACAGTCCACGGGCATTGTCCGTTGGGTCACCCTCGCCATACGTAGCCACGACGAAGATAGCCAAATGATCCTCAATGTCCTTCAAGTTGGACAACAGTTTCTGAGCAAAACATACGGTAGAGAAGAAATCTAATGCTATTTTCCGTGGTCGGATTCACCCTCCCTTTCTTGTATTGGCTTTGTATTATTATGTGCCATGAAGTGGAGACGATAAAAAAAAAAAAAAAAAAAAAAATATTGTACCCTTAGAAAAGAGAAGGAGCAAAGACACCGACGGGTGCACATGTAATCGTAACCACATCAAATATCAAGAACACCTGACAATCGATGTCTCTGCAACAACGGCCCATATGCACGGCGATATGTCAGAAATGCAGAAATGCACAAGAACGAACACTCCAGATGGTTATTCCTACACCTATACACATGGTGTGGGTCAATCCGGATAGGACTCTTTGGCATACGTCACATGATCAGGCAGGGCACACCAGGGAGCACTACACACACCGGTATGTGTAGGGCTCCCTGGGGCACATGACAAGGTAAGGCAGCCATGTTTGCTTGGTGGACTCAACTCTCACGGTCGGCTAATCCCTAAATCAGTGGACGACTGGGTGTACAGCCACGTCGGCTCCCCTGTCAGCATACCATATACATGTACGGTGTCCACACACGGTACCAACACAGGACAACGACAGACCGTACGCGAAACAGCTCAATTTTACCATGTCGTGGTCCTCGGGATCCAAAAGCGTCGAGCTGATGCCCATGCGGCGGAGATCCTTCAGTAGTCGCGAAGCAAAGTCGCCAGCCGTACCCGTTTGAGAACCGTAGAAGATGGCAACTTTTTGGTCCTACAACGGAGACAACCCGAACAAAAGCAAGGTAAAAATTAACTTTGAGTACATGTTGCTATCACAAAGCAGCTGGTTTGTAACTGGAAGTATGTCAAACCATAATATTGGTTTTGTCACGTAACTCGCCACGTGGACGCACACTACTACCAGGCACAGCAAGGTGTGCACAGGACAGCTCTCAACTGATGCAAGCGTGCGCTCAAGACGCACTCACACACACACACACACACACACACACACACACACACACACACACACACACACACACGCACGCATATCCACATGGCTCGCACTGACCTTGGCCTTCATCTTGTCGATGAAGTTCGCGTACAAATGAGCATCGGTGCTTTGGTCCTTTTGAGCGCTCCTAGAAGAGGGAAAAGCACATAAATGTAACACAATTCCTCAAGTATTGCCGGAGTTGCTACGACTATCTTAGTGCAGTACATAGTACGGGACGGGCATTTTTATTCGCAACTTCGAACTTCACGCTAGAACGGTCATCAAGTAAATTTGCGATGAAAAGCTGTGAAAATGCGGCACAAACAGTTGAAGCACGTACAAGTTCACCCTCACAAGTCACCGCAGTCCCCAAATTGGACCCAAACATCGAAACAGGTGGCTGTCTGTAATGTAGCAACCCGTGAGTACTAAAATTACCAACAGTTTAGTACTCCTCCTGGTACCTTCTGTACGTGAACAGTACGGTGCACCTCACTCATGTACAACAGCCTCTTTGATCCAATCAGACAGACTAGACGATCGTTGATTCTGAAAGCTCTACTTTTCGTCGCAAAATGAAACGACATTGCAAAACTTCAGAGGCTTCGACACAGGTCAACTTCGTCAGAAAATGTGAACAGCTGCCAGCGCTCACTGGTCGCCAAGCTCCGGGTGAAAGCGAGCGCACGATGCTATCGCTCCCCTGTCGCAATGGTGGCCTGGGACTCATCATCCCCACCGGTTTATCCAGCCAGTACTCCGTCTCTGTCTCCATCACCAAACCACTAGTGGAGAGGCTACTGAAGCAGGAAGAATCCACTGAAGACGTGTTTGCTGTCATCAAAGCCGCCAAGTTGGATGTACGTGTGACCACACGCCATGATCAAGCTGTGGCCCTGTCCTCCTTCAGGGACCAGCTCAGTCTGGACGACCAAAGGATCTTGGATCTGGCTGCGGAGAAAGGATGCCTCAAGTTGGCTCACGTGTCGGCCATCTCGCCGCTTTCAGTTCACGACGCCGAAGTCGGGATTTCGCGATGCCTTGTGCCTGCGGTACGGCTGGACCCCTCCCCGACTGCCAACCCCTTGCGTCTGCGGCAAGCCGTTTGACACGACGCATGCACTGTCGTGTTCAGTTGGTGGCTTCCCTGGAATGCGGCACAATGAGATTCGCGACCTCACCGCCAATTTGCTGCGGGAAGTAGCCCACGATGTCTGTGTGGAGCCTGCACTGGAGCCCCTGTCCGGTGAAATGTTCCCTCTTCGGTCGACCAACATCGAAGACCATGCTAGGCTGGATGTGGCAGCGCGGGGGTTGTATGGGAGTAGGTTTGAGAGGACAATGTTTGATGTTCGGGTGTTCAACCCTTTTGTCCCCTCAAATCGAAACCTTACACTCTCGTCTGTCTACAGAAAGCATGAGCAGAAGAAGCGGAGGAAATATGAGTGGCGAGTTCTGGAGGTAGAGCACTCCTCCTTTGTGCCCATTGTCTTCTCCACCACTGGTGGACAGGGAAAAGCCTCATCTGCGCTGTTTGCCAGGATTGCCAGCAAACTGAGCGACAAGCGCAACGAGCCTTTTTCCGTCACCATGGCTTTCGTCCGGACTAAACTGTCCTTCAGCCTAGTGAGAGCCATGGTTGCTAGTCTGGGCGGCTACCGGCGCTCTTCAGTGCCACTTCCAGTTCATTCGGCTGTTCTGGCGGCTGCCGAGTGTTCATTGTAAGCGTATGACACAAGTACTGCCGATGTACATGGAGTTGCTTACCTCTCTTTCTTTCTTATCTTTTCTTTTCCTTCTTCTCTCTCTTTGTTTGCCACGGCGACCCCGTGTGCTGTCTGTGACTTTGAGCCTCATTTCACTGTACACTCGGACGCCTCTTATCCGGGCACCTTGGGACCGGGCACTGCCCGTATCTCAGATTTGCCCGTATTTCAGGATAACTCATCTACTATGTATCATATTGTAGTATCCCTGCCCGACCAATACGGAAGCAGTACGGAACTAATACGGAGCTTTGCCTGATGTATATTTAGTGTATCTCCGTATGTAAGCGTACGGCGTCTGCTGCATATAAGCGGCTGCGCATTTCTGTTTTGATGAAGAGAAGATTAGATTAGATTGGATAGCAATGAAAGCTAACTCGAAGAATAAGGATTCAGCCTCTAGGTGAGCACCGGAGAGAAAGTTATTTATTTTGCCGCTTCTTCTTTCACGAACGATTATATCTCAGGTGTGTACCTGAAAGTAGAATAAAAGTAATTATTGTTCATTTCACCGCGCCTACCACTCGGCTACCTATTACAATATCATTCGTTGAAGAAGTTTATTTGGCAACCATTGCACATGTTAAGGATACCAACATGATCGATCGATAACGACGTGTGGATTACACAGGTTGATGGTGACAAAATAAGCACTTGTGCATACGAAAAAAAGTTCAAACCCCCAAATTCGAAGCATTTTACCATAGGAACCCAAGCTGAAGGTGCCCGGTAGAGAGACGTGCCCGTATCTGAGGCGTCCGGATAAGAGACGTTTGAGTGTACTACTTTTTTTCTCTTTTACGTTTACTTTATACCAGGCGTGGGCCATCCCGATCCCCTGTACATAGGTGCCACCATTTTTCTTTGTTTCAATTTTTTTGCCAGGGAGTGAATGCACCATTTCTGGTGCATTCACTCCCTGGCAAAAAAAAAAAAATTGTGAACGGTTGTGCTTTATGACTTCGTGAATTCCGGACAGAACTGCAACATTCACATGCACAAGCTAGGGTGGCAGACCACCCTCAGAGGGGACAAAAATCGAATTCGGGCTTTGGGACCCGAAAGAGTGCCTAACCTAAGCATAAATGCCTCAGGATCTGGATTTAAAATTTGAGCTCAAAATGTTCAGCCATTTCTGAGATATGCCGTTGTGAAGTTGATGCAATTGAAACAATTTTCGAATTTGGAAATTGTGCAATTGTCAGCGCACCGTATTATTCTGTGCTTTTCGTCAACCCTGCCGATTTCGATCGGCTTTTTTGTCATGGTGACTTCCTTCGGTTGTTCTGAGCTGGGCTGCGTGACAGGCTACGTCACGTATCAAGGAACAACGACTTTGAATGTGATTTTCTCTTGTACAGCGACATTTCATTGTTCTTTGGTAATACTTGTGTTCACTCGCATCAGTTTGACGACTCACACAGCGATGGGTAATAAAAGTAGTGGTAAGCGCTTGAGTAGGCCTAAGAAACGTCGTCTATCCCATGGATCGAAGAAAGAGGCGCCGCCACGAAATTTGCGATGACAATTTCGAAATTCAAGATGACGATCTTTCACTTGAATTGTTGGCGAGCGGATCAGATGATTCTGACATTGGCCTTCTTAGCTCGTCATCGGAGTCTGAGTCAGGGGAGGACAGTGACTCTGATGATCCCGAGTGGCGCAGTGGCAATCAATTTGCTCACATTGACTGTCTTCGAACTATGAGTCGTCATGTGTTTGTTCGAAATGCAAATCTGGGTCACTGCAGTTACGTGAGACTCATCGCCAAGGTCTGGCGTCATCTGTTCAGCTATTATGTAGCAATTGTGGCATTGCGTTCGAGGGACCGCTCACCAAGAAGAACGCACCAAGACCATATTTCGAAATCAACCGACAGTCTGCAATTGCCATGCGAGTGATTGGCAAAGGAAGAGAGTCCCAGAGAAAATTCTGTGCTGTCATGGATCTGCCTGAACCTGTAAGGAAAGATCCTTTCCAGAGTCACACCAAAGCGTTGCGTGATGCAGCAGTTGAAGTTGGCACTGACAGTATGAGAGGTCGTGCTGACGAACTCCTGAAAGCCGCAGAAGACAAAGAAGAGGGACATCCAGAGAGAGTTGTCGTGAGCACCGGCGGTACATGGATGCGGCGGGGATACTCTTCGCTGTATGGCGTACAGACCGTCATCGGGTTCAACAACAAGGTTTTGGATGTGCAAGTGCTATCCAAGCACCGCAATTTCTGCAAAGTGTGGAAGCGCAAGCTGCAAGATAGGCAGAAGGCAGAATTCGATGCATGGCTGACGGAGCACCGCAGTGACTGTCAGATTGACACTACTGTGTCAGCACCCGCCATGGAGACGGAAGCTGTGAAACTGCTCTGGACGAGGTCTGAGGAGACCAACAAGCTCCAGTACATGTCATACATAGGCGACGGTGAGAGCAAGGGCTACACCGCTGTTTCCGCAATGAAGCCGTATGGTGACGTCAATATTGAGAAGGAAGAATCCGTCGGCCACGTCCGCAAACGGCTTGGCAAAAACCTGAGGGGCCTCAGACAATGTCTCGGCAAACAGAAGCTCAGCGATGGGAAGCCGATTGGTGGACGCGGCCGGCTAACTGACAAGCGAATGGATTCACTGCAACATTATTATGGAAACTCCATAAAACAGCACGCTGGAAGCATCGCCGAAATGAAGCGATCGATTTGGGCTTCTTTCCGTCACAGCGGCTCAACCGCCGACCATCCCCACCATGAGTATTGCCCACCCGGATCACAGTCATGGTGTGGTTGGAGAAGAGAGGAAGCTGGTGGGCCAAAGTATTCGCATCACGATGCGCTGCCCAAAGCTGTCCTTAACGAAGTGAAGCCGGTGTACGAACGCTTGACGGCCGATACCTTGCTGCGGAGATGTGAGAGGTCTGCTACACAGAATGCGAACGAGTCACTGAATGGACTCATCTGGACCATGTGTCCCAACGAGTCATTTTGCAGCAAGCGGGTTGTCAAAACGGCCGTGCATCTAGCTGTGGTGACCTTCAACGAGGGCTATGAGACTGAAGTCTCTGCCGTGCTGGCCGCATCTGGGTGCAACGTGTCTCCATCCTCTCTTCGCTTCCCGAAGAAGTTTGATGACGATAGAGCACACCATAGGAGGCGAAAGTCAAGTGAAGATGAGAGGTCATCCAGGAAGAGGAGACGCGCAATCAGGAAGAGATTTGCAGACCGAGCCCGAGAGGAGGAAAGCGATACCTATACTCCAGGTGGATCTTAGATAGCAAAACTTCATCATGTTTCAGCCCAACGGCCGATCTGTGGCGCAGGATATCTCGGGCTGTGTGCATCACAGACCAATAAACCTTATATGTAAACACATCTACATGCAATTGCCGAGGTGCTAACGTTCTTCGTTTCTTAGAAATCCCACTCCTATAGAATTAGTGCATCATAAACCTTTTCATCTAATGCGCACATTTTTCGTACCTACGATATCCAGACTTTCTGTTATCCAAAGCCGTATTGTAATACATGTCATTGCGCTGGATTCTGTAGTTCGTATGCTACATGTGTTCAAAATTTGAAGGAAATGTATGAACTATGAAGGCACATTGTTATGGTATTTTGAATGGCGGCGTGTCGTGCTAAAGTGCTGAAGGTGGTCTGCCGCCGCTGAGGTCAAGATCATTAATATTGCTTCGATCGACATCACTCACGATTTGAAATGGCGAATTTTCTCCTCGTCGCTTGATCGCTTGTGGACGAAGAAATAGTAAACTAGGAATCCACCGAAGGCCACTAGTAACAGCACATCCCATACGCCAATAGGCAACGCTGAACCAACGTCCTCGGGCACGGGCGTGTCAGAATCAGCCATTGCAAGATTGGGAATGGCAAACAGTTCCAGCGACTGACTCAGTGTAACTACTACTACAGATACATCTAAAACAACTCTACTACTACCGGTACTACCAAAGTATTGCTGCTAGATATCTGATCGATCCCACAAAGGAAAATTCAAAAAATATCAGATTCTGCAATTATTTATTTGCGTGGAAGTTTGGCTTCGACTTCCTCCCGAATCCTTGTTCTCTCCTGGGAAAGACCAGCCAGACAGTCGACGGACACTTCGTTCAAACTATTTGCCACCGCCAAGTGCAAGTCAGACGCAGAGTGAATGAGTCTGAAGTGGTACCGTGCGAGCTGAGTGATGGCCCATCAACCCCGCCGTATCTTTCTTGTTTTCAAATTTCCGGAGCTCATATCGATTAATGGTGGGTTGTATTGTTACTTCTTTTGCTGCCATTCACATGATTCACGTGCTGGTGGCGTGACAAAATTAATAGAAAATATTTTTCGTCGGGTCATTTGCCGGATCATGGATTCATGCGCGCATGGTCGCGGTCGATGGGTATGGACAGCTGCTAGCTGTGTGATGAGTCTGATGACCATGATGACTGATGACTCGTGATGAGTCTGATGACGTGACGATGCACCATAGTCCATAACATCTGTCCACGTAGATCTACGATGTACAGCGTACTATTACTAATGAGAACGAAAGGAATCTGATTGTTTGTTTGCATTCTGTTCTGTCAGTGCTGACTCGCTGTGTAGCTTTTTGTTTTTGAGACAGCTATGAAGTATGATGAGGAATGACCTCTGCTGAGGCTCTAGCTCTGGCACTGTCCTTCGTGCAAAATCGTGGTCCTTGGCTTGGGTCGAAGTGTTGACAGTCTGTCTAAACGTAGATATATTACCCATATAAAAACCGCTCTGTGAGCGGTTCTGAAAAACCTCTACTGGTGCAGCCCCGTCGTAAAAGTAAGAAATTAGAACTGGCGCATTGTCCTCCCAAATGTGAACTGATCCACCTAAATCGCGATTGACGGGACCCGAACGCACCAGTAGCACGAGGTTCCTACCTGTGGATGCAGCTGGGGACGCTGGTCCATAGCCAAAGCCAAAGCGGCAAAGGTGGGCTTCGGGGTAGGTGTACGTACTGTAAGTGTTGTATGGTAACTTGATCAGCGCCGACGCCGGCTGTGATCCTGTGCCCTCCCGACCTCGTGCTACTGGTGCGTTCGGGTCCCGTCAATCGCGATTTAGGTGGATCAGTTCACATTTGGGAGGACAATGCGCCAGTTCTAATTTCTTACTTTTACGACGGGGCTGCACCAGTAGAGGTTTTTCAGAACCGCTCACAGAGCGGTTTTTATATGGGTAATTTCAGTTCTTTTTCTGTTCCCTCCCCCATACCGGCCCTGCTCCGAAGATAAACATGGTGAGAACGCGCGCGATCCACTGTATGTAGCCATGCGACTGCAGTAGCACACTGATACATTCCAGCCCTCCCTGCACACTGACACATTGTGACAAACACGCACATGCACATGGCACACACGGGCACGCACACACACACACACACACACACACACACACACACACACACACAATGTACCATGTATACGCCCGTCGCAAGAGAAGCACGCAAATCTGCAAATGCACTGGATGTGCACCCACAGATTTTCTCTTTATAGCAACGATAGCGGATCTGATTCTGATTGAAACAGATCAAGACAAGCGCCAGATAACTGTCTAATCCACACAACTGGCGAAGCCATGCACACACACACACACGACCCAAACAGGAAATTCTTGATGAACATTGTATAATGCCATGCAAAGCAGTAGCCACCATACTTCAGGAAGTCATGCAGTTGTGAAACAAAAATAATTCAACTACAATGTGTAGGTAAGCTGGCGGCCAAAGCACAACATTGCAGCGTGATGATATTTGCCTAAGGATTGCAGTTTGCAGACCACACCATGGAAGCAGTGAATACAGAATTATTGTAATGTCATACAAAGACAAGCAAAGAAGTGGCCACCATACACCAGAAACTTGCAGAAAGTCACATATCCAACAGATAGAGAAGTGAACAGCATCTGGTACAGCCCACACAAAACCAAGCTGACCTGATACTCGTCCGAAGATCGTAAGTGGCAGATCCTTTTCAACGATAGCATGCAGGTGTACGTTACACGCATGGACAAAATCTGACCGTGTCACCGGCATACATTGCCATCACATGCACAGTAGAAGCACAATAAAAGCAATGGAAAAATATGAAGGGGTTGCTGAAGCATCTTCACACTTCAATTTCAGACTTCGATGTGGTCGTCACGGGGTGATATACCTGCAAGATACAAGTGATACAGAAAGAAAGCATAAGGTCGTGAGGTAGGCTATGAGACACCACAAATGGGTCACCTACATGTATGTTCAGGGCTGGTGTACACACACACGCAGAATTATCATAATCGAGAATTTCCCAAACTACAGAAGAGCAATGAAATCCATTTGCATGCACAGGAGCAATTTGCAGTATGATGCGCAGCTCGGGAATACACCTGTTGGCAATGGATTACATTCCCATTGGAATTCCCATTTCACGTGGGATTCATAGAAGCAATTTGGCAGTGTGCTGCGCAATGCGACACGACCTGCGATTCTGCGTGCGATGCAAACTCGCATGCACAGGAGCAATTTTGCAGTATGATGCGCAGCTCGGGAATACACCTGTTGGCAATGGATTACATTCCCATTGGAATTCCCATTCACGTGGGATTCACAGAAGCAATTTGACAGTGTGCTGCGCAATGCAACACGACCTGCGATTCTGCGTGCGATGCAAACTCGCATGCACAGGAGCAATTTTGCAGTATGATGCGCAGCTCGGGAATACACCTGTTGGCAATGGATTACATTCCCATTGGAATTCCCATTCACGTGGGATTCACAGAAGCAATTTGGCAGTGTGCTGCGCAATGCGACACGACCTGCGATTCTGCGTGCGATGCAAACTCGCACAAAATACCATTCACAGAATCGCGACAAGACGTCAGCGATGCAACAGTGCCTTGCTGACGTGCCTCAAGTCAAAGCTCAATGAGAATGCGTTTGTCGGTTACAACTGGTACAAATGTACAAGCAATTTCTGAAAATGCTCCTGTGAATCCTACTTTAAGCAGTGCAGGAATGTCCCTCCTCCGCTCCCCCCCCCCCCCCCCTCCACATCCTCAGGGAACTTGACGAGGAAGGGTGGTCTTCGCGGTTCCCAACATCTATTTGCAGTTTCTGGTCTCCACTATGTCTTTTCAATGGGGATTTGTACGTACCATAAAAGCAAGCCTAAAAATGAACAGCACATTTGCCGTTCCGCCACTGGGGAGGATGCGTTCCACAGCTATCCTGACAAGATATTCCGAGAAGCGGTGCTGAGTGCAATGCATTGTGAAACTGAAAAAGCTGACCAAGCCGCGGCATATAACGTCTAAACTTCAATTGTAGTTCGCCAGCTGACTACTTTCAGACTCCATGTAGGTCGGAGTACATCTGGCTTAAAAGTTGACAACAACGGCGCACCCACATAAGCAATGACCACCTTACCTGTACTGTAGCAGTACTTCCGAGTTCCCGTATGGGAGTTCCCTCACTGTGTGTGCAATAGCAGCCTCATCGGACCAGTTCAATGCGACGCGGACAGTCCGACACTGAGGAGGACATTGAAGAAGTCAGAGAGAGGAAGAATGGTTGATTTACAATTCAACTAGCAAGGCTGCACACCCACGAAGTTCCACTCACCATTGTGCCGTCCTTCTTGGAATGCAGAAATAACGCTTCTTCTCGAGACCGCAGCCTGTGACAGAGAAAAAGGAAGGAGCATCGCCATCGGCATTGGTCCTCTGCTATCACCGATTGCCGAGTTGCACAGTTCACTCTAACAAGACTGAGGATGTTCAAGAACTCCCCATACATACCATTATTGGAGTAAGAGGAAAGGTCAGATTGCCTAGTTCCACCTAGCATTCCTGGATGCCAGGATGTACTGCCCCCCGCCCCTCCCTTCTACTGCCTGGAAAGGGCAACATATGTCACAGCGTTCACCAGTACAGTCGGAGGAGAACATGGGAGAAGGCAAAAAAGGGCAACACACATGAATCCCTTATAAACAAGCAGTGGCAACTCTAGCACCAGAAATGTTGGACTTACACCCCAGCCATTGCCGCCGGATTCAGCGGCTTCTTCTTCTTGGTCTTCCATCTTGGAAGCACTCCTTCCCGTAAGTTCAGTCCTGGGATCGGGAGTACAGTCGGAGGAGGACGTCGGAAAAGGCAACACACATGATTCCCTTATATTAAAGCAAGCAGTGGCAACTCTAGCACCAGCAATGTTGGACTTACATCCCAGCCATTGCCGCCGGATTCCCACGCTTCTTCTTCGTCGTCTTCCAGTTCTCAGATTCCATCTTGCAAATACTCCTTCCCGTAAGTAAGTGCAGTCCTGGCCTGGGTGGATGCGCAGTACATTGACGATGGCGGAGATGGAGCAGGTCAGGGAGCCCTATAGGGGTCCCGAGAGCAGATTGCGGCCAAATTCGGGACGATGCCGGACGCCAGTCAGTATGAAGTAGCGAATTGCGGACCGCCACGTAGATTGGGGTCGCGGGGTCATAATCCACGGGCACTACTCGTACGTTGCTCCAAAAAAGGGCACTGCACTGTTCCACAGTTGCTGTTAGCGGTCGCCAAAGGCACTTGGTAGGCCGGTAATTGGGTCACGTGTCAACAAAGTGTCAACAACGTGCCAACAACGTGTCGACCACGTGTCTTTAGCGGTACACTAATTTTGGTGTCCCCAAACTGAAAACATCGAGCACCAGTATGGAAAGGCTTTAGACAGAAAGCCTTTCCAATTTTACAAGACTGTCTCGGCTGAATGAAGGTCATGCCATCTTTTTTTTAAAATTTTGATATTCAAGTAATAGTTGGTGAAGAAAGCGACGCCAACTGAGTCCTGAGTCCTAAGGATCCTATCCTCCTTCTATCTACTGTAGTACTGAGTTAGTTGTAGATGATATTCTACCAACACCGTTGTCGGTGGGTATTTTTTATTTAGAAAAATTAATGTTGATGTTTGGGTAAGCCTTGGTAAACTAACACTTTACTTGCATCCTAGGTGAGTGGCTTTTAAAGTCGGTTGGACTTATGTCGTGCTGTCATAACCGGGACGTTCACCTAGGTTTGGATGGCGCGCTTAGCAAGGTCGCTCTCCTCAGACTGCGCTCCCTGCAGCCACGCCGCGGCTTGTTCCAGGGTGCCTTCTTGAAGCGGATTGCACGCGAAAAGAACACGAGCCTTTCTCTAGTGGCTAGGTTCAAGAAGCCTGCGACGTACATCACGGATGGGCTGTTTCTAGTGGGCCGTTCCGTGGTGCGCTTGAGACCTGGAATATCCAATGAAATCCTTTGCCACATTCCCTGTGGCATATCGCTGAACCGGAGCCCGCCAACTTTTCTCATCCAGCAGGAGCCATGCTGAAACACGTCACAAGGCTGGCATCCAATGCTGTACGGACTGATGAAGCTGTGCGGCAAGCTGGCCAGGGTAGACTTGATCACGGGCTCGTACCAATGCGTCCCGCTGCCGCGGTCGGTGCGTTTTGCCTCGCTGAGCTGGACAGCGTATGAGAAGCGCATCGTGGCTGCGTCGTGTAACAGCGATGGCCCTGCCAGTGCGCTGGGCTTGGCCGTGTTCAATATGGAACCGTTCAGGCTGGTGTGTACGCTGCAGCTTTGCCGCTCGGGCGCACTGCAGGGTCCGCGTCTCCACAAAGCTACGGTGGACAATGACCTATTAATCGCCGAGTTTAAGGAGCGCAGGCGCGCTAAGGCAACGCTGAAACTATTCGACTTCAGAGAGGTGGTGCGGAGATTTACAGACGAGAAATTCAAGTGGCTGCTGCAGCAGTCCGCTGTCGATGTGTTCTCTGAGAGCATTCTGCGGGAGGACGGGCTGCCCGTCACAACAATAGACTGTAGTGGTGAGCGCATGATCGCGCCGCTTTTGACTCTAAGCGGAGTGGAATTAGACTCGCTGGAGATTGGGGAGACGAAACCGTTTCCCTTGCTGATCAAGCGTCGGCTAGACAACAGGACACAGTCAAAGCAGTGTACAGCGCTCCACTCCATGCTCTCCGGCAGGATAGCAGAGTACGGTGAAGGCACGGGGCCGTTCGTCAGTGACGATACTTTTGCGGAGGAGAACGCCACGCTGGTTGACATGTGCCCACTGCTGCTGCACCAGTCGAGCAATTGCGTGTCGGTGCTGCGGTACTCGTCCACACCGGGCGGTGTTGACCTGCGCGTCACGCCGTGCTATGATATACACGTCGACGACAGCGTGGGCGCCGGCGAGCACCGGCCGGCCAATGCCAGCGACGACGTCTACACGAGCTCCGGTCGCCTGGTCAAGCGTTTGGTGAGCGTCAACGAGTTTGAGGAGAGCTTGGTGAACAGCCTATACTGCGATCCGGATCTAGGCTTTCTGGTCATCACGCTAGCGTCCAGGCAGTCGCCAGGCACCGGGAGCGTTTGCTTCTATGATCTGCACACTGGCGTGCTGCTGAAGAAGCTTGCGCTGGAGAATTGGAAAGAAGGTAGCCATCACAACGCCATGCTCTTCAAAGATACTCTGGTGCACGTGCACTCCAGTGGCTCTTTAACGCAGACCGATGTCTACCTGCTGGCCAAGCCGGCGCTAGATCTTTGAGCCTGGCACGGCAATGCCTGCCGGCTGCTGTCGTGTGGTGGCATCACTTCACACAGAGCTTCGGCAAGTGTGGCCGCTATTGCCGGCGTCTGGAATGCCATGGGCTCTGTCCTGCCGTCGTTTTCATCAAAACATGTGCTTGCAACGCGTCACTGAATGTGGCCGTGGAGGCCCACACATGTTCTCGAAGGACGTGGATCTCGATACGGCCCGTCGGCGGTTTCCTGCCGTTCGTCTGGTCTCCTGGATGCGCTCGGCAGCTTGAACAACACTACCCGGTAACCCCGCAAAGGTTACGGATCAGTGTCGGCTCTTCTCGCGTTTCTTCTCGGAGATATCGGCGCACAGGAGTAACGATGATTCCGAGACCTTTGGTCGGAGGAGTTACTTTTGCCCCGCCCCCACTTCCATCCAATATGCCACCGCCCCCGCTGTGCAGCATCTGATGGTACTGTGGTATTCAGTAAAAAAAAAAAAAAAAAAAAAAATGCTGCAGTGCGTCGTGGTGATGTGGCAGTGTTATGCACCTCGCAGGCATTGTTCCTCACCAATCCCCCAGTCCACATCGCGGCAAGCAATCCGCACTAAACGATGACGCTGATTCCCTGATGCCTTTCCTCTGTGCAGCTCGACCGCACTATTGTTTTTAAGATTAACATCATTATTACTTCTGCATATGCATTACATACTATGATCATGCTGGCTCCATCCCTTATCTGGCTCTTTAACGCAGGCCGATGTCTACCTGCTGGCCAAGCCGGCGCTAGATCTTTGAGCCTGGCACGGCAATGCCTGCCGGCTGCTGTCGTGTGGTGGCATCACTTCACACAGAGCTTCGGCAAGTGTGGCCGCTATTGCCGGCGTCTGGAATGCCATGGGCTCTGTCCTGCCATCGTTTTCATCAAAACATGTGCTTGCAACGCGTCACTGAATGTGGCCGTGGAGGCCCACTTATGTTCTCGGAGGACGTGGATCTCGATACGGCCCGTCGGCGGTTTCCTGCCGTTCGTCTGGTCTCCTGGATGCGCTCGGCAGCTTGAACAACACTACCCGGTAACCCCGCAAAGGTTACGGATCAGTGTCGGCTGTTCTCGCGTTTCTTCTCAGAGATATCGGCGCACAGGAGTAACGATGATTCCGAGACCTTTGGTCGGAGGAGTTACTTTTGCCCCGCCCCCATTTCCATCCAATATGCCACCGCCCCCGCTGTGCAGCATCTGATGGTACTGTGGTATTCAGTAAAAAAAAAAAAAAAAAATGCTGCAGTGCGTCGTGGTGATGTGGCAGTGTTATGCACCTCGCAGGCATTGTTCCTCACCAATCCCCCAGTCCACAGCGCGGCAAGCAATCCGCACTAAACGATGGCGCTGATTCCCTGATGCCTTTCCTCTGTGCAGGTCGACTGCACTATTGTTTTTAAGATTAACATCATTATTACTTCTGCATATGCATTACATACTATGATCATGCTGGCTCCAACCCTTATCTCCTAAGCTACCCCCCGGTGCGTCTGCCCGGTGTTGACTCCGAGACCCATGGTCGGACGAGCTGCCCAGGCCTCACCACCACTGCCGTTTCCGTGCTGCCTTCTCGATACATACGTATGTACACTGTATACCATGTGCACATTCACATGTCTGAAGTTTTGTGGTTTTTCAATAAAAAAATTAAAAAAAGCGTGGCACAGTGCCATGTGTCATCGGTAGTTCGTCCCGGTATCGGGCTGACCTGGTAGTCCCAGCTGTGACTGAAGTGCCGTGTTGGGTGGAGCGTCCTCTTGTCTAAAGGCCTCGCCGTAAGTCGCCCAGCCACCCACGCAGGAACTGGATGGTTGTGAGATTGAGAGAATCCAAATGCCGGGAGCTTGAAAAAGCCCCGGTGTCTATTCGTACGTAGTCTTTGCGCTGGTTTGGACTAGTATTCGGGATTGTGGGACGCCCTCTCCGGCTCCACGCTCCCCAAGAATGCCTCCGTAAGTAGCTGCCCGAGACTGGACTGTATACGCATGTGCTCACTGTGTGCTTTCCTCATCTACTGCTCAGTCTTTTCTATGCTATTCTCTCCTGTAACAGAAGTGACCTGCCATACACTTTTCGTGGACTTTTAATAGACCTATTTGCAGCTAGAGTGACTAGTGCATGTTTCACTTCCGTTTCTTTGAACATGTACGTTTGAGTTGCCCTGCAACCAGTGGCGGAATCTACCCGACCCGGTCTCAGTCTGCACTCTCAGTAGAAGCCAGCTCAACGAACATGTTTGAGTTTCTCTGAATTGTGAGCAAGTGGCTGACCACTGCTCTCAGCAGCTGTATTACTGCATTGCACGCAGCACGGTACTCACCGGCGCGGTTAGAGCCCTGCTTTTTTTCCTTTTTCTTTTTTTGATGACACGACCACCCGTTTTTTTTTCTTTCTGCGTGAGAAAGAACACGAAACGTAAGAAAAAGGCCTAATCCTGCCCGGCCAGTTATGTGGACTTACGGGGGTCGCCATGGCAAATTAGAGCCCTGCCTTGAATACTGTTGTGTCCTGGACGCAAAGAGACAATGAAAACAATGCCCTGTCTTGAATAGCTACCCGGGGCCTTGTAATCTAGTGGATGTGCGCTTGATGCTATTGTTCTTGTCCATGCTGTACACAGTCTATGTGCTGTACGCAGTCTATGTGCTGTACGCAGTCTACGTGCTG